CACCCATAAAGCTTCCGCATTGATTAAAACCACAGCAAAGTAGTTGAGTAGCACCAGCATCACATGTCAGTAAGCAGACACTTTCATAATTGGAGTTTCAGTTCACAGACATTGACAAATAGTGTCCAAATTGCTTTGTTTCAGTTTAGTTTGTTTATCAAAAGACCATCCAATGTGACTAATGAGCAGAAGACTGTCTTCTCTACTGATTTTGATGAAAAGGTTAAAGTCCTTCACCCCCTGTCATTAAACTCAACCCCTAATTCCAAAGATATGGGACACTAGCAGAGTTTGTATATACTGTGCACATAGAAATTAGGTACAAAAGGTAATTAAGCTAGAGTGTGGGGTATGACATAAAACTCCCATAAATCTCCACAGCAGTAGTGTTTAAAAAAAAAACCCTGTGTTAGTCTCTACAATGGGACATGTAAGAAAAGCCTGCACAAAATCCACGTTTGTGAATGAGCCGCGAAAATGGTGATTCAGCATAAAACTCTTTTTTCTTTAATCTCCTCGAGTTTAATCCTTTCCGATGCGTAATTATTCATTTCCCCGTTTTTCTTTAGAGCCTTCTAAGTACTGAACCTCTCGGGGAAAGCGAATTGTTGTTGGAACCGCTGTATTTCATTTAAGTCTTTCCTGTAACAAATTAACATTGGTCCTTTGAGAGGTGCTTCTCACAAAGAGCCTTGTAGATATTTGTCATGCCACTAATTTATTTTTGTATATTTTTACATCGCGTGCAATTATGGGTTACTTTGTTTAAAAATACCAACTGCCTGTTCAAGCTTTGCCTGTGCGACACTTGGCGGGCGATTGTATTTGAAGCAAAATTAAGGACGAGCTCAGCGGCTGTGTATCTCACTCCCCTCCCCCACCCCCCAAATGTCGGGAGGGAGGGGAGTGAAATACAGAGACCATTAACCCCAGCATCCTTTGTTGAAGTCTCGCAGTTTAGATGTTAATGTGCAGGGATGGTGAGATGGGGAAAATAACAATGCACTTTATAATCGCAGCGCCACATGGTACGGAACTGCAGGAATTGTCTCTCTCCGTGGCCTCAATGGGTAAGAATGAAAGAGAGAAAATTGTTCCCTAGCCGCTCGAGTGCTTTAATTACAGGAGGGTTGACTCACACCAGGAACACTTTGCCCTGTGCACCCTATTGTACTAAATCCTGTTAGTCACAGTGAATTAGGTTTCTTAAAAGTGACCACGATGACCACCGTCGTCATTGGCAGTATTGTTTAGGCCCAATGATTTACACATCCAGGCATTTTCTTTTGTTTCCGATAGGCCTGTATTTGGATAATTTCTACAGGTATGTAAACAAACATTCCCTTATGTACCCAATGTAAGTGTTAATTTTACTGTTAATTAAATTAAAAGTGCAGCGGTGCAGCAGTGTAGCAGCAGTGCATGGATGGTGTGTTGGTTTGTGCACTGCAACATGAACCCCAGGGTTGGCGTTGGATTCCCGGCCACGGTTAACGTTGGTGGTGAGTGATATCTGAACCGGTCTTGTGACCCTCTCCTTCAGCAACTCGTACTGACCAGTGTGGTGAAATATGGTCAAACAAGTCCAGTGAACACTTTGGCTCCGTGAGGCCTTTATCCAATTAAACACTTACATTTAACGTATAGTCATAAAAAACGAAACACAATAAATATTTATAACATGACTGCCATTCTCTATTTTTGTTCCAATATCGTGTATCATAGTGTTGTTATTCACAGGGTTGTTCTCAATTCATAATCACAATCTTCATTTATGATGAAGAAATCCGATGAGCCCTGGAGCTTTTTTTTACAAATGTCCAGAAGGGGTAGGTCAGAAAGTTACAACAACAGTCAGAAAGTCACAACAATAAATTATTGTTAATTTGGTAAGTCAAATTAGAATGACCGATATATATATACTAGCTGTACTACCCGGCTTCGCCCGGGACTTGTATCCACCACGCCCGGCCGCCTTTGTCTCCCCAGTGGCGATGTTAATTACGCCACACAAGTTACTTCGTTTTTGAGGCTGATCCCTCCTCAAAACGCTCTCCTCCCTCACCACTCTCCCCTCCCTCACCACACTCCCTCCCTCACCACTCTCCTCCCTCACCACTCTCCCTCCCTCACCACTCTCCCTCCCTCACAACTCTCCCTCCCTCACCACTCTCCCTCCCTCACCACTCTCCCTCCTCACCACTCTCCCTCCCTCACCACTCTCCCTCCCTCACCACTCTCCCTCCCTCACCACTCTCCCCCTCCCTCACCACTCCCTCCCTCACCACTCTCCCTCTCCCTCACCACTCTCCCCCTCACCACTCTCCCTCCTCACCACTCTCCCTCCCTCACACTCTCCCTCCCTCACACTCTCTCTCCCCCCCCCCTCACCTCTCCTCCCTCACCACTCTCCCCCCCACCCTCTCCCTCCCTCACCACTCTCCCTCCCTACCCCTCCCTCCCTCACCTCTCTCCCCCTCCCTCACCACTCTCCCTCCCTCACCTCTCCCTCCCTCACCACTCTCCCTCCCTCACCGCTCTCCCTCCCTCACCCTCTCCCTCCCTCACCACTCCCTCCCCCTCCCTCACCACTCTCCCTCCTCACCACTCTCCCCCCTCACCACTCTCCCTCCCTCACCACTCTCCCTCCCTCACCACTCTCCCCCTCACCACTCCCTCCCTCCTCACCATCTCCTCCCTCACCACTCTCCCTCCTCCCTCCCTCACCACTCTCTCCCTCCCTCACCACTCTCCCCCTCCCTCACCACTCTCCCTCCCCACCACTCTCCCTCCCTCACCACTCTCCCTCCCTCACCACTCTCCCCTCCTCACCACTCTCCCTCCCTCCCTCACCACTCCCTCCTCACCACTCTCCCTCCCTCACCACTCTCCCTCCCTCACCACTCTCCCTCCCTCACCACCTCCCCCCTCCCCTCACCACTCTCCCCTCCCTCACCACTCTCCCTCCCTCACCACTCTCCTCCCTCACCACTCTCCCCTCCCTCACCACTCTCCCTCCCTCACACTCTCCCTCCCTCACCACTCTCCTCCCTCACCACTCTCCCTCCCTCACCACTCTCCCCCCTCCCACCTCTCCCTCCCTCCCCACTCACCCTCTCCCTCCCTACCACCTCTCCCCTCCCTCACCCTCTCCCCCTCACCACTCTCCCCTCCCTCACCCTCTCCCTCCCTCACCGCTCTCCCTCCCTCACCGCTCTCCCTCCCTCACCGCTCTCCCTCCCTCACCACACTCCTCCCTCACCACTCTCCCTCCCTCACCACTCTCCCTCCCTCACCACTCTCCCTCCCTCACTCACTCTCCCTCCCTCCTCACTCTCCCTCCCTCACCACTCTCCCTCCCTCACCACTCTCCCTCCCTCACCACTCTCCCTCCCTCACCACTCTCCCTCCCTCACCACTCTCCTCCCTCACCACTCTCCCTCCCTCACCACTCTCCCTCCCTCACCACTCTCCCTCCCTCACACGTCCCTGCCCTCACCACTCTCCCTCCCTCACCACTGTCCCTGCCTCACCACTCTCCCTCCCTCACCACTCTCCTCCCTCACCACTCTCCTCCCTCAGCACTCTCCCTCCCTCAGCACTCTCCCTCCCTCAGCACTCTCCCTCCCTCACCACTCTCCCTCCCTCACCACTCTCCATCCCCTCACCACTCTCCCTCGCTCACCACTCTCCCTCCCTCACCACTCTCCACTCCCTCACCACTCTCCCTCCCTCACCCACTCTCCCCTCGCTCACCACTCTCCCTCCCTCACCACTCTCCCTCCCTCACCACTCTCCCTCCCTCACCACTCTCCCTCCCTCACCACTCTCCCTCCCTCACCACTCTCCCTCCCTCAGCACTCTCCCTCCCTCAGCACTCTCCCTCCCTCAACCACTCTCCCCTCCCTCACCACTCTCCTCCCTCACCACTCTGTAGAGGACGGTGAAACTTTGATGAATTTACCTCAGAGTCTCGTGGTGAGTGTCGAGGCCTAGCACCGTGCAGAGCCTCCGGCCTCGCCTGATTTTCCCACCCGGCTGAGGCTGGGTACGGGTGCCGTTCCCCCCCCCCCCCCCCACGCTACAATAATACTGTCTAATCGCTATAATTTTATAATCTACCGACCCTATAATAGTAATTGCACACATTGTGGTGGGGGGGGGAGTGAAGAGGACGTGAAACTTTGATGAATTTACCTCAGAGTCGCGTGTTAATGCGTGCGCATATTTTTAACGGGAATTAAAAATGGCGTCCACCCCGCGGCGAAGGCGTCGCTACCCGTTGCCAGGGGCAACCGCCGTCCAATGAAAGCGGCGAAGGCGTCGCTACCCGTTGCTAGGGGCAACCGCCATCCAATGAAACTGCGTATGGTCCGATACACAGACACACACACAGACAGACAGACAGATTCGCGATTTTATATATATAGATTTTTTATTATGTTTTAAAATAAATATCTTCGGACATTTCAAAATAAACTTTATTCTAATGTTTTTTTTTTGCACAATTTCATTGCCATGCATCACAACTTTTTATTGCTAAGATATTCTGCAATATTGGCTCTCAAGTGTAAATATTCTTTTTTTTTTCTTTCTATGTGACTTTACCGAAAGAACCAAATAGTAATTCCTGCAGTCACGAAAGCTCCAAATCAAGTGTAAATATGTTTTCTCATGTTTTGTTTGGTGATGTGACTTTCATTTGCTTGATGAGCATTGGCCACATTTTTTCATCTGTAAGAGTTCACTCAGAGTTTATTATGGGTTTGCTGCCTGAGCCCTAGGGCATTTCTACAATATCCTAACATTCATACGCACGCCACATGCCATTGTGTCTTCGCTGGAGTTCACTGTGATCTTAAAAATATCGCAGGACGTATTTCGTTACCGTTTGCTTCAACACAGATGAAGTCATAAATGGAGTACAGCGGGCATGTTTCATAAAGCCCACTGCATATTGGCACGTTTGTCGTAATCGAGTTACGATCTTGTTCTTTCAGGGCAACCACGGTCCGGACTGCTGCAGGCATCCATCATCAGCTGTTATGTCATGTACCTGACGTTCTCCGCCGTGACAAGCCGCCCTGCTGAGACCGGTGAGTGCTTGCGTGCACGCACGCGGTGCCCTGCGTCGGCCAAATGTCACTCGTGGGCCTTGCGGAGGTCCGTCCCTTTCACATTGCACGCCAAAGACACGTGAAATGACCACACAGATGGTCAGCAAAAGCATAGTAAAAAAACGCACAATTGAGTGTTTCTCCACTTGTGTGTGTCTCCAAGATGCAATGGTGGGGGGGGCAGGGGTGGTCATCTTCATTGGTGGCTGAAAGCCAGCGGTGGAAAGTTTACATTACTATGGCAGGGGCCAGCCTTCCCAACGGATAGCCAGCCACTGTTGAACAGTAAGCACAGCTGTGATTCCTTTTTATTATATAGTTTAAATACAACACGTGTAATTTCCTTAGTAAAATAGTGAATATAAACCAAACATACCGAAACTTAAGAGATTCTGCATATTCGTCAGATTTTATATCTGAGACCGCAGAATGCAAATCTTTATCAAGATGAGCATTTTAACAAAACAAACTTGAATGAGAGAAGGTGGAAGACAAAGCAGGGGTTGGGGTGTTACACATGCATGGTGTTTAGAGGTAAGTAAGCCATTGATCAGGGCCCATCAGTCACATCTCATTCATTGTATTTCTGCCCTCAATTTACATTAATTTTAATGTAACCTGCACATGCAGGTAAAACGTAGGTCTACAAGTAGCAGGATGAAGTGACAATAAATTTCGATTTAAAGCTTTCGTGAATGCAGGGATTCATCTTCTTGGTTCTTTCGGTAAAGTCACGTAGGTGAAGAACACCTGAGGACGGCTGCTTGCATTGTGGCCGAAACGTCGTGAGAATTATTTTATTATGTTTTATTTTTATTATTTTCTCACAGTGAGAATTGTATTTTATTATGTTTTATTTTTATTATTTTCTCACAGTGAGAATTGTATTTTATTATGTTTTATTTTTATTATTTTATTATTTCCCTTCTACGTGACTTTACCGAAAGAACCAAGAAGAAGAGGCAATAATTTAGTAGCAAGCGGGTATCTATATACCGCCTCATCCATGCCATGCTGCAGGTCAAGCACGCCTCTTTTTGTCAATTCAAGAAACCTTGTTTTACATATCAAGCCATCAGTAGTGCTGTTTGTTGCTCGTCATTTGGTGTTTGGGCCTTTGGGGCCTGTGCTTAGCAATCGTGATAGAAATTAGTTCCACTTCCAGTAGGCAAGGGGAAGCCTTCCATATGCATGGCAGCAGAGCAATGTACCGGCACAAATCCCTTTGAAATCTTTGTCACTTACAGCTCCAGTTGACTTCTGTGTGCACATTAACTCCGCTACCTCCAGTTCTAATCGCTGTTAATTCGTTTAGGACAATTCGTTGCCATGCTGGGTATGTCTTACATCGCCAGTGTAACTCATTTACAGCTGATCCTACGATGAATTAGACATAATTGGAAAGTTTCACCATGCCATCATTGTCTTCTAGATGTCCACTTATGTCAGACCGACTGCAAAATAGCGCTATTAAAGACAGAAGGCCCGGATTAAGGCGGTTGTTGTAATTTGCTGTAAATGCCCAGCACAGATAGCAGAAATCCTAAAGTCTGCATGATCAAAGCCCGATCATATTTCCCCACTAAATCCATTAGGGAGGGCTTGGGGCTTCTGGCAACACTTAAAAGAAGCCCCAGCAGGGAGTATTGACTCGGACAGGCAGTGCAGTTCCCTTCTCTTCACATCTCATTTCCTTTGCAACCAGGCATGGCCTGAATGTACCGTAAAACATTTATCCCAATTTGTTCCTCAAAACTAAATCGTGGTAGTATACAACTGTATTGAACTTTGTTTATAACTGCAAGCGTACACAGTATCATCATATTTTTTCCCCAATTATATGACAATATTATTTTTTTAAATTTCATTTTGAAAGTAGTTTAATGTTTTCATCATAAATGAACATTTAAAAACACTAAATGAATTATAAAATGGACACCAAACACTTTGATCGCTTTGGTTAAACTCACCGACAGAATAGATAATACATTTTTACCCATCAGGGTCTTGTTTTTTTGTTTTAAATATTTAGAAGATTTTTTTGCTGAATACACGCAATGATAGCGAGTTTTGAGGACAGGGTTGGTGAAACAATGTGTTCGAAGGCAAGAGTGATGAGGCTACAGGTCTCAGGTGTTAAGGTCACATAATCGTACACATTCCACCAGCAGAGTGTTTGTGTTTCCTTGTGACTGAACCGGCAACTCTCATTAGCCCTCCCCCCCCCCCCAGCATCTTCACTGAGGTTTGTTTTACCTTGTTTGTTGTTTTCTCAAAACACTTCCTGTTCCCAGTGGCACTGGGCCCCCATTAGGGCCCTGACTAATGCACAGCAACACGTGTGGCCCAGTTCCTAGACCTGCCGCTGTTTGTAAACTCACAAACGTAAACAATAGAAATACAAGCACAAGCATCTGTCTGTCGAGGGAGGTGGGTGTGTGGCTGCGTGTGTGTTGCTGTGTGGGGAGCGGTGGTGCAGCAGTTAGCGCGCTGCGCTATGAACCCGGCGACACGAGTTCGATTCCCACTCACGGCCAACACCAGTGACGATTATCTGAACCGGTCCCGGGCCTCCCCTAGGTCGACTCAGCCTCAAATGAGTACCTGGTGCGGTGTGTAAACATTGCCACTAGGGAGACAAAGGCGGTCGGGCGTGGTGCTGGCCACCCACCCCCTCGTGTACCGTTCCGGCTTTCATAGGTGCTCGCTAACAGCACTTGTCCCAACAGTCTGTTAAAGGCTATACGGGGGTTCTTTGTTTTTGTTCTTCTTTGTTGCTGTGTGTAGCGGTGGTGCAGCAGTTAGCGTGCTGATCTACGAACTCGGCGACAAAAGTTAAATTCCTACTCCCGGCCAACACCAGTGACAATTATTTGAAGCAGTCCTGGGCCTCCCCTAGGTCGACTCAGCCTCAAATGAGTACCTGCTGTGATGCATAGTAAACATCGCCACTGGGGAGACAAAGGCGGTTGTGCATGGTACTGGCCACCCACCCCCTCGTGTGCTTTGCCAGCCTTCATAGTTGCTCACTAACAGTACTTGCCCCAACAGCCTGGTAAGGCTACATGGGGGACATTCATCGTTATTTGTTGCTGTGTATGTGTTTGGGGAGTGGTAACGTAGTGGTCAAATCACTGAGCTGCTAGCTCGGCGTGCCGAGTTTGATTCCAGAAAATATTCAGTTATCATTTTATCTCAGGTGGCAAGCGATACCAAATTTAGTCCTGGCGTGGCCTTAAATGAGTACCTGGTGCAATATGTAAATATTATCACTGGGGAGACAGGTAAATAAGGTGTGATTCTAGCCCATAGCCCCTTTGTATTATGCCATGTCAACCTTAACAGGTGCTCGCTAATGGCACTTACAATTCGGGACACCTTCTGTGTCTTCCCATAATGCTTTTATTTTGTGATGGCTTTCTGTGTTAATTTACACAATTGTTTTTTATTGTAGTTTTTTTTTCTTCACAAAAAGCACTACCAGCTCTGAGGTTATTGTAATGGCTCTTATATGCTTATGACGGGCAAATCATCTTCCTTGATCGTCTCCCCAAGCCTTCTCTATCTTCCATGGCCTTGCGTTGTAACAGTCCTTTTACTTCCTGCACACAAGATTATTATGTTGCTCAAACCCTGCTGTGGGTTCGCTTTTCGGCGTGCTCCCTCTGACCACCACTCTGTCATTTGGCTTGACCACCAGCCAACGTACCTTTGAGCAACATGTTCTGCCCAAGCCCACTCACTTTTGGTACAGTCAACGTGTAACCTCATTTGCCAGTAAAAAATATGATAATTGTTTGTTTTACCTTTCTATCTGGCAACAAAACTGACACCTTTTTTACAAGGAGTCATGTTTGCATCGACCACAATACCTGCAGTCATAATGCAAACAAAAAACACAACTGTCTTTGAGTTGTGCGCCTTTTGGCGTCATCTGGTCCAACACCATGTGAGACTAGGCTCTAAGGAAAGCTGTCTCGGGTGTGGACCAATCAATTTCAAGGACAGTTCATACATTATCAGAGTTGTGTTTTTTGTTTGTATTATGACTGCAGGTATTGTGGTCGATGCAAACATGACTCCTTGTAAAAAAGGTGTCAGTTTTGTTGCCAAATAGAAGGGTAAAAAAACAATCATCACAGTCAACATGTCTCTAACTTGCATATGTTCTCTAATCCACGTGCCCTTCTTTCTCTGTCTCTCAGTTTAATTTCAAGCATTTACCTCTCCATGCTTCTTGGCACATGTTTCAGATGTTGTTCTATCTTCCTTGTCTTTTGTCCATGTTTCTGATCCATATGCCATTTGGAATTGAATATTTTTTGTTTGTTTATTTTGACTTTTTGTAACTATATTGAAACTTGTTGAACGTCTTGAACAAAACATGTTATGATGCCTTTGCTGTGTAACTGTAGTCATCAATGCGAGCGGAATGAACCAGACGATCTGCTTCCCAAGCTCGAGCGAGGATGGGCAGCGGATCGGTGACACGGTGGTCGCCATCGTGGGCTCCATCATCATGTACGGCTGCGTGCTCTTCGCATGGTGAGCTCCCGACCGCACCTCTGTCACACCCGGCCTCATCACCGCGAGGGCTCCCCATCAGTGGCCCTCACTACCACAGTCTCGTGTAACAATGTAGAGGCAGCTAGGTAGATCAGCTGCTAGCCTTCAAACAAGTCTTGCACCCATTAGCTTCCTTTCTGCCATAGATGTTTTTAAATCTACCGTTCACCATCGCGGAGATTGTAGAGTTTTCAGAAGCGACTCACAGTTTCAGGAGGTTCTCAGCTGATAAAGTTAACTGAACTGGATAGGTTTTGCAATAACTGTTAGGTATCACCTAAAATCACTGTTGAGGAAAGCAAAGGGAGAGGACAATAACAAAACTGCGCTCGCTTTCACTCGTCGTTATCACAATGTCACCCGTTGCCGACGAGTGCCCCCTCTGAACGGAGCTCGAAGGTGGTCTCAGGGCCCTCCGCACTGCCGATGAAGCGGCTGTCATCTGTCTGAGCAAGACGAGCAGACAATCACAAAATAATAATAATAATAAAGAAATTGCTCAAGAACAAGAGTGTGGTGATATGAGGTGAAGAGTGATGAGCAAGATGGAATGGGATCCAGGGAGTTTGACACATGGACCTGCAATAACCCTCACAAGTAAATGAGTCAGGACCATTTTTTCTGGTGGTGGAGTTTTGCCTGATTGCTTTTTGTGGATCTGGAGGAACCAGGGTGCCCTGGGAAAACCTACAGATGCGAGGGGCAGATACTCAAACTCCACATTTCTCCATAGCAATCTGCTTGTAATGCAGCTTCCATCATAGGCCTCTTGCTGCCCAAATAAATATTATATATGCCCCGCACAGTCCCCGGCCAGTGATTACAATGCAACCGCTCATTTTTTTGGGACATTTGTTTTCGATGCCGCAGCGTGCATGTGTGCAAACACGCCTGCCTGTATGCTACGTAAAACACCACTCGCCCCCAGCAGGCCCAGTTTAAACGTTGAGCTCCATGTGTGTCCTCCCACAGTCGCTAGAACAATATTTTGCTTTTCACTCCTTGCTTCTGTGCATCCACGTGGTAATACTCATCCCTGTATTCGCCTGCGGCGAGAGTCACGTTGGCTTGGCACAAACCCCCCAAACACTCTTTGCTCGCTTGCGCAATGCCCTTTCGTCTGCCCAGACAGCGACGCCATGCTGTACAGATTGTAGCGGGTGCATCCTGATATCAATCAGTCAAACAATCGATCTTTATTTCACGTGCCGATGTTGCCCTCAGAACGGGAATGGTACAGGATGCATAGAGCAATAGGAATGTTAAAGGGAAAAGCCGTCATGACCTGATAGAAATTGCAACTAATAATCGCATTCATTCAAAGTTACAAAAGTCACATAAGTATTATCATTAGGTGTGATTAGTGCCATTAAATCCTTAACAGGGAATTGGCAGCTCTTTTGAGTAACACTACAGAAAATCCTTTTTGCATTTGCAAATAAATATTTTTATTGCACTTTTACCAAAACCCGTCATCTATAACAGTGTACGAGTTCTATCTGGCAACAAAACTGACACCTTTTTGCAAGGAGTCATGCTTGCATAGACCGCAATACCTGCAGTCATAATACAAACAAAAGAACATAACTCTGATAATGTGCACTGTCCTTGAAGTTGATTGGTCCACACCCGAGACAGCTTTCCTTAGAGCCTAGTCTCATATGGGTTGGACCAGATGACGCCAAAAGGCGCACAACTCAAGGACAATGCACCATCAGAGTATGAGAGCTCGGGGCAAGCATCTACACTATGGGGACCTCATTTGCCAGTAAAAATATGATAATTGGTTCTTTACCCTTCTATCTGGCAACAAAACTGACACCTTTTTGCAAGGAGTCATGCTTGCATAGACCGCAATACCTGCAGTCATAATACAAACAAAAGAACATAACTCTGATAATGTGCACTGTCCTTGAAGTTGATTGGTCCACACCCGAGACAGCTTTCCTTAGAGCCTAGTCTCATATGGGTTGGACCAGATGACGCCAAAAGGCGCACAACTCAAGGACAATGCACCATCAGAGTATGAGAGCTCGGGGCAAGCATCTACATTATGGGGACCTCATTTGCCAGTAAAAATATGATAATTGGTTCTTTACCCTTCTATCTGGCAACAAAACTGACACCTTTTTGCAAGGAGTCATGCTTGCATAGACCGCAATACCTGCAGTCATAATACAAACAAAAGAACATAACTCTGATAATGTGCACTGTCCTTGAAGTTGATTGGTCCACACCCGAGACAGCTTTCCTTAGAGCCTAGTCTCATATGGGTTGGACCAGATGACGCCAAAAATATGATAATCATATTTTTACTGGCAAATGAGGTCCCCATAGTGTAGATGCTTGCCCCGAGCTCTCATACTCTGATGGTGCATTGTCCTTGAGTTGTGCGCCTTTTGGCGTCATCTGGTCCAACCCATATGAGACTAGGCTCTAAGGAAAGCTGTCTCGGGTGTGGACCAATCAACTTCAAGGACAGTGCACATTATCAGAGTTATGTTCTTTTGTTTGTATTATGACTGCAGGTATTGCGGTCTATGCAAGCATGACTCCTTGCAAAAAGGTGTCAGTTTTGTTGCCAGATAGAAGGGTAAAGAACCAATTATCATATTTTTACTGGCAAATGAGGTCCCCATAGTGAGTGTACGAGTTGCATGATAGCTGGATAATAAAAAAAACGAATCGTTGATGAGAAAATTAATGAATCAGATGAGTTATGTTTTGTTTGCAAGTAGGGGTATAATGTATCTATGTATGTTGCACTTCTTTTGCACCGTACGTTGCCACCCGTGCTAAGCGGAGGTTTGGGAATATGGATATAGAATAGACTCGTGTAAGTGTTACATGTTGTGGGTTCACATCTTCCCTGCAGCTGCTGGAGATGCCACCACTCACTGCAATGTTTAACAATCTACTCATGGCCCCTGAATCTCAAGAATCCAACCAAATCACCCGGGTGAATTATTATTATTACATCTTTATTCTTATTTTAGTGAGTATGTGTTTAATTGTTTTTTACGTGCATGGTGATGTTTTCTTTTTTTCTGACTTTTGTTTCGTATTTATCCTCCTTTGCTTCCCTTTCTGCCTGACATGGAAGTAATGAAGCATCCTACTTAGCGCAGGCCTTTGGTCCCTGTTGGGTGATCAACGTGTATAAATATGAGTTTAAAGTAAGCACTCCGATCAACACATGCATACCATGCTGCGCAGTAGTCCGCCTTTCCCTTGCAGTGTCTGTAGTTTTAGTAAGCTAGAATATTCGTAGTCGCAACTTTCCCGATAATTTAATCAAACATGTCTACTTGTTTATTTAACGAAGCAAAACAATCAATGAGATGCTTCTGTAACAAAACGTAGATTTGTTATTGTAATCTATTCTTAGACCTTACTAATAAAAAGTGCAATCATCTCCATCTAAGTTCATTCCTAGTTTTATCACGAGGTCAGGCAGGCAGGCCCACCGTTTCAGCGGAGGCTTCTTGTTCCGCCACGTCTTGCCGATTTCCATATTCGTTGTCACCCGATTCAAATTGATGCTACTACGTCAAAGCCGTTTTCAAATTTCTCATGGATCAGTAGTAAATGTATTTAAAAGTTCTTTCGCACCATAAGCAGCCAACCATGCTAATCAAGAGGTGCGAAGGGAAGGACAACAAACTAAACACAAAATCAGTTCAAAAAATTAACCCGTAAAAACAAAGTTTTTCACTCTAAATCCTTTATATGCGTGGCGGCTAGAGTCCTCTCGTCCTCTGGCTTGAGATGGCTGCCACCTATGGGTCAGATGATTGTCTGCCAGCATTAAGCAATTGGTAATTAAATATTTTAAAAAATTCCCTAAACAATGTAAAATTTTGGGAAAAATTTTCACGAAAATGAATTGTCACGCACAACGAGTCTGTGTGGAAAATGTCAGCTCGATTGGATCACGGGAAGTGTGTTAAAAAACGACCGAAAGATTTGCACGGTCGTGAGCAAGCAAGTAAGCACGCAATCACGCAAGCAAGCAAGCGAACTTAATATAAAGGATTTAAAAATAGTTTTCAGTCTAGCTTTAAGTGCATAGCTCCAGTGGCTTCCTAATATCGGAAGGAAGAGCATTGCAGACGGCCGCAGACGCACATCCGAAAGCACGGTATGCTGTGACCGTCCTTGAGAACGTGTATATCGGCCACCAAAAGTGTGCTTGCTTTGAAGAGTTACAGAAAAATAATGGCAAAAAACACAGCGTGCAACCGAGTATCCAAATCCTCCCCCCCTGTAGTCTGGCTACACTTCCTGACAAACCTTTCCCCACTTTCTTTCTCTCTGGCTAACGAGCTCATTTACAAGGAAGTGCGGTGCTCTTCGTTGCTGGCCGATTAATACATCTTCTGTAATTGGAGCACAAATCTTGTGTTGCCTCCGAAACGTCGTGATTTTTATTTTACTTTTATTTTACTTTTATTAATTTGAATTTTTTACCTACGTGACTTTATCGAAAAAACCTAAGAAAACAAATACACTCCTTGTGGATGCAGCTCTTCAGAGATTGCCTCTGATTAGAAAGTGTAATGCACTTTTTTTAAAATATGTATTGTACGGTACAACATCGCTCATCCGACTCGCTGGGAACTGAGGTATAGGTGAATATGTGAAAATGTCGGATACGTGAACATCGGTAAAATATGACAGTTACACCGTGCCCAAAGAGGTTACTGGACAAAAATAAAGTACAGATTTATTTAAAATTGGGAAATTAATGTACGCCGCATGAAGAAAAAAAATCCTCGATGTGAAAATATCGAATTTTTTAACATCTACTGTATTTAAAATAGCGGTTACGCGATGCATAAATACTGCATGGGGTGCCGGCAGTTAATTTGTCAGTGTGGATATGTGACGGTCGGATACGCGACTTTGTACTGTATATAGAAATGTCCTATCATTGCCTACCCTGCCCTGCCCCTTGCACCTGCCCTGCCCTAACCCTACCCTTGTAGTGTTGGATCCCCTGTGCGCTCGTCTGTGGCTGCTCTGGGTATTTCCAGCGACGAACGGCCGTCTGCGACAGTGAGTGACACCTTCCCCCGCACCGACTGTTTGACCGACTGTCAGCGTTTCTCAGAGCCCTGCGGTGCTTCGGCTGCCGACCGTGCCACGTTTTTGATGTCACGGCCTGCCCCTGAGAATGGCAGTGAGAAGGAATAGACCTGCGAGAAAAACAAAAGAAAGTGGTGTCACACCATTGTATTGTCAACGATTGAAGTCCAACTTACTGGATTTTAATGGTACACGGGAGTTGGCGTTGGTTACTCTGTTGATGTTTTTATGGATTTTGTGAGCGCTGATCGCTTTTGCTGGTAATTCTAGACCGGTGACAAAGCGAGCATCTTTTAACGTGCGGTGTATTTTCACCAGGATGTCCCTTCACGCCTCTGCTCGCTTAGTTGGTGCTTCCAGCCCTCATCACTTAAGACTGAGCATAGCCTCAGCTTGACTTTTCAAATGCTTCTGGGACATCACCAGGATGGCAAGATTTTTAAAATAAAAGTTTGAGGATATTTGCGCTGAGAGACAGAAAAGGAACACATGAATCAGGAAATATACACACGGCATAGACTTCATATTGACGGTTAAGAAGAGTAAGTGGGCATGGACCCGACATGTCACTATAACAGGATGATGGCCAGTGGTTGAGACTCGCAACGGAATTGTCATCAAAAGAGGGAAGACGGCCAGAGTGATGAGATCAGCTTGGGGTGCTGTGGTGGTGAAATGTTATCTCCCTGGCCTGGTTCGCGGGAGGTTGTGGGTTCGATCCCAGCCCCTGATACTCGTATATATGGAGTTTGCATGTTCACCCCGTGGTCGCGTGGACTTTTCTCTGAGTCCTCTGGTTTTTCCCTCCACGTGTCGAAAAATGCCACTTCGTAGAGCTCTCATTTGTGGCCAGATCACTTCTGAAACAGATCTATAAAGCTCAGTGGACCTTACCTGGTAAAATAAAATTGTTTTTAGTAAGATAGATGTTTGTATCATGTGACCGTTAATAATGGTGCCGGCTTTGAGATGCCTTCATCCAGCAGTGGATAGCTCAATGATGATTGTGAGTTATTTTTAACAGACGTTCAAATTAAATTGTCAAACATGGAATTTCACTAGAGTACACCAAATTTAATGTAACATGGGATGACATATTTGATCGTTAAAATGTTAGTTTTATCGTTACATTTTAATTAGAGCATTAAATGTCTCGTGACATGCAGCAGGAGTAGAATGTAAACTTAAGTTACAGGAACATGACTTGATCACACTGTAAGTTTATGATCAAGTGTAAACAGTTTGCAAATGGCACGTGAGACAAATTAACCACAAGTACTTGTTTTGGACCAAGACGAGAGAGAAACCAGACAGTCCTGGCAACCTGAAGACATTCTGAACAGGATTAACTTCTCCGTTGCGTTTGGTAAAACATGGTTTTGTTCAAGAGAACTGACATTTGAAAGTTGATTTTGCAAACTAATACACGTCCCCTTCGTCCTGTTTCAGGAGGCGTCTTGTTGTTTTTGCTGCGTCCAAGACGAGGATGGTAAGATCGCATGTCTCGTGCGCTCATTCAAGAAGGCGTGCACCGTCAGACCACGGGCAGTTTCCAACAGTCAACGCTTAATTATCCAGGCCAAGGACGGGGGGTCGGTCCAGATAAAAAAAAAAACACAGATAATGAAAAACATAGGGATATTCAGAGATAGAAAAAATAAGATGAATCCTTCATCTATGTAGGATGGGGGTCAAAATCAAGAATGTATCGCCGGTTTTTATTTTGGTTTAAAGTAATTGTCCACTAAGTCACAAACGTGTTAGGAGCAGCTAATTATCATGGGCGTGGAATGCCATATCTTTTCTTATTTTTTTTCACAAGCATGGTTGATCCACACCCCAGATAATCTACACATTGATAAAGGACAGTTAACTGTAAATGTTTTACCCTTCCACATTTTGCAGCGTTTTTTTTTACAACCCACCATTGCATTTGTTTTTACAAAGGGACACCTTTACCTCACCTTACTTTTTTTTTTTAAATGATACGTTTGAGAAATTATTCCACGCTCAAAATTTTTTTTAGCCCGTTTGAAACTCGACAACAGTTGTAGCAGGTGCAAAACAAAGTCACAACGGCGTTGGTGTGTGTGCTTTGTTGTGGGGAAGGGAAAACGATGGGGAGTAGGTGCAACTTGCATGAAATGCCTCGCTCTCTCTGAGATAACATTCCATGTGGACCTTTTTGCACGTCAGTTATGCTGGCAGCTTGCCTGACCGGTTATGACAATGCAGACTAAATATGATCGACTGAGCAACAGGTCTGGGTCTGGGATCACCTTTTTCCATTAAATAGCGTTCATTGTATTTTCCAAGCAATTTCGAGTGCACTCTGTACATGTGTAATGTATTAAAACGGTAGTGGCTGCCTTTAACTGTTGAGTGTACACAAAAGGGATACTGTCATCTGTAGTTGTATTCGAGTAACAGATTGCTTGAGCAATGAGTTGTGTTTCACGTGTTAGCAAGCAACAATTGAGAGTGACACAGCTGTTGGCTACATGTTATACATTTTATAGCATAGCATTTGCCAAATGTATAAGTTATGTGCTCTTTGTCTATACATATCCAATAATCTCCCAAATTATTCTAAATTGAAAAGGTGGGGAGCAAATACATACCTTGTTTTAAGACCTTTCTATACCAAATGCATGTTTATGAAAACCCTTTAGTTTATGTCTGAGGTGTCACGGATAATGTAATATGTGAATCTGTTTGAATTACCGATACTTACGTGCAGTTGGCTGACCCCATTTGCTAAGGGCCCTAAGCTGTAATCTTTCACAACACATGCGGCGAAGCAGGCTACAGTATGTGACTTCTGCGGGATGTATTTAAAATCCTGGCACACTGCTATGAATAAAGATCAAAAACAGTGCCCACAAGGCAATAATGCTTTCTAATGCACAGTTGTATGTTTAAACATATTTATATTGATGTTCTTTTGTCATTTCTCATTTTGATGTCGGAAAAATGGCAAGATGGCATTTCACTCATGGCACAACGGTTGTTTTGCAGCCAAAATGTTTCAATATCCATGAAAGATCTGTCTTTAAAAAGTTTTTGCATTGTTAGCAATGCAGCTGGATTTGTGTAACCCATTGAAAACCATCATGTATGCAGCATGCTGTAACGGAGCTAATAATCCCAGTAGATGACTGAAGTTAGCTTGCAGGGTATTTGTATTTCTTGTTAAGCATTCACAGGAGGTGGCCAGGTGACTCAGGGGTTCCATTGTTTAGCTGCCACCACCTGAGACCAGGCTTTTCATCTGGGCAATCTCCTTGTGATTTAATTGGATTCTGAAGTGTAGCAAATCAATGGTCTCAGCCTGGTCACCAATGTCTGCTACAACAATAATCACAATAAATAATTGTAGTTGTGAGAAAAAAAATTGGATTGCTATGTGTTTAAAAAATTGCTAGCGGTATGTTACAATTAGTTTCAAACGGCGATTCACTGCTCTGACCCAAACGCATTCCTCATCACACGACCTGACACCGATAGCACATTGTAAGATCAAAGAAAAAAACAACAACATTACTGTCCTCGTGGTTTTACGCTACATCTTACACCATCGTTGTTTCCATTCGCAAGGTGCGGTCTACGAAGAGCCGGAAGATGGGGGAGGACAGAAGGTGGTCTTTAACGAACGTGACGGCGTGGTGTACAGCTACTCCTTCTTCCACTTCGTTTACTTCCTCGCCTCGCTATACATCATGATGACACTCACCAATTGGTTCAGGTGAGTCACCGACCCGATGGGCATTCTCATCTTATTCCTGTTGGGGGGTGGGCAGCATTATGTGTCATCGGTTGCTGCTCGTAGGTTGACAGGAAATCCAGGAATCACGATTGGACATGGTTCGGAAGAGTCGGCAAAAATACCCTCTTGAGATGGGGTTACTCGAGATCTGCCTCTGACGAGGAAGGCCTTATGCCTGCAGTGGCATGATCAAGCAAATCAAGGGCTGCACTTTACCTTTTACATGAATATTATTCATCCATCGTGTGCGTGTTTGATGTTGGTGTCTTTTGTGCCTATTCATCTAGTTTGTTAATATAGTATGAACATAATTTGCTTTTGCAAAACATTGATCACGTCAAATAAATTATATATCCCATAGGCTTTCTATATTCATACATATATCCAGCAAGAGAAACGCATTGCATCAGCTAAATGCGACAAGACGGCGACTGTTGCGTTCTGCCACATTGGCGTACAATGCCACTCACGTTTTGAGAAAAGTATGAGAGGCACGCTGCACTCGGGTGTATTCAGGGCAGGCAGGCCTGTCAAAACACGTCAGTTGTTGCACTTCCTCGACACTGACACGCTTACACAGTGCGCTGGAGAAGGAGTAATCTACAGAAGCTTACTGTGTCTTTGGCAGTAGATTATCCACTGATTTCAGGGTTACAACATTCTCGGTTTTGTTTGTTGGTTGTAAGGATAAAAGAACCCTGTTGCTTTAATCCCGGAGGCTCTGTGAACAGAGAGCGCTGCTAGCGGATGCTTGTTCCTTAGCCACGGACCCTGATGACATGGTCAGGTCCACACACTGGCTCCTCTCTTGTGTCATCACCAGCAGTCGTCACAGCGGATACCGATTTTTTAGGATGTACTGACCTGGGGCGGCGGTTTATAAGTTGACTTGGAGTTGCCGCTGGGTCACTGGAAGGGGGGGCGGACCTGTTGCTGCTTATAACGTTGTTTTAAAAATAAACTACAAATTTAGGCCGCCTCTTGTCACAACCTTTACAAGTACCTCTAGAGGCCAGACGAGCTTCTCTTTCAAAACAATCAGAAGGGTTAATTCCATTACGGGAATTTCACGGCGTAATTCAATTGTTAAACAAAATTGCATTTATGCCACGAGGAGAAAACAATCGATGCCGAGCGGCGTTTTAACACACGAGCGGATTTAAACAGATGTCCGTTTAACACGTAGGAGGCTTTCGCGACCAATATTATTCATAATAAACGTTTTTGGGTTAGATTGCGTTATTTTATAAATGTGTCGTAACCCTTCCACCACCCGACACGGCCAATCAGCAAAAAAGTGTCACGTTGACAAAAGACAAATAGTTCACTGCTTTAGCCCACCAGTGTCTCAGCAATTGAGAATATATAATGGTTCTGGGTTTTTTTGTCTTTTAACGCTTTTTCAAAAAGTATAAGCACCAGCTGGTAATTGTATAGCAAGGTGTGGCCTGCTTTTTGTAGCACTTTTGTGTCACTAAGCCCAGCAGTACAGGGTGTGTTATCCTAAGCACTTTGGTGTTGTTACGTAATATGCAAGCTGGCTGTGGGGTGTCACAGTTGTTAACGTGTATTTCAGCAGTTTCAAAGATCTCAGCAGCGAGTGTCCATCCTAATACTGGGCGTGTAATGATGCTCCCATTAGTTTATTAAAGTCTATTATTTCGCTCAAGATACGTGAATCTCTTATTTAGACTTCATACAAATATGCGCAAATGTTTAATTCAGGTTAATGAGGGCAACAAACCTGTACAAATGAGACCGAAAAGCAAGAAACAATAAGACAACTTGATAAAAAAAAATAACTTGTCTCACTTTACCATCAGGTTGACCACAAAACTTGATGATTCAGCAAATTTATGACGGGGGTAAATCATTACACGCTTGATTATTTGCAGGATCGTTTGGTCTAATGTTTAACCTTATCTTTTTGTATTATGCATAAGTAAGTTGACTCTCAGTTGGGTTTTTTGATTGCCAAAATGTTATTATGATTCGTTGAGCAGCCAATTCTCCTGATCAGTGTATCCCGTTCTTATTTGTTTAAATCAAAGCAAACCTGATAGCAGTTTCACCTTAACTGTGTCTCCTCAGCAAGGTGGTAAACTCTACTGCCTGGTCATCTGGTATTAGTCGTAGAAACCATCGGTGAAGACTACGGAGGCCGGAATTATGTTGCAACATAATTTAACGTAATTTAATGTGTATGTATATAAAAATGTTCAGGATTACATTATCTGTCCAAAAAAAATGTTTAGCTGTAAGTATACTGTTAAGTGTGTGTTTAAGTTGATATCATTTGTCTGCAGTACACAATGGGACACAGCAATTATTTGCATAAACTTTCATTCATTCTATGATAGCTAGTGAAACACATTTCTCATAATTAAATTCCTTTGGGACATTTGTGTTTGGTGCTCGCAGTATTTTATTGCAGTGGTAGCAACTTGCCATTTAGTTTTGAAAATTGTAAGAAGCATAATTAGATATCCTTTGTCGACACACTGCACCAGAGCTAAGCTATAATAAGGCCACAGCTCTAATGTGAAGGATCCCACCACACCCCCACCCTGTGTGCCTCCCCCACCACGGAATCATCACCTGAACGTTTATCCCGGCAGCTACGAGAACGCCCGGCTCGACACGGCATTCACGCAAGGCAGTTGGTCCACCTTCTGGGTGAAGATGGCTTCATGCTGGGTGTGCCTCTCCATCTACACGTGGACTCTGCTTGCCCCTCTCTGCTGCCCTGGTCGTGACTTTTCGGACTAAATGCACCCGCGCCGGAATGCCAACCCACCTTGCCACCTGCCTTTGCTGTGCCCCCATGTGTTGCAGATTTCTGCTCTACCACGATTTAAGTGACCCACGTTATATGCACCGAATCTGTTGTCCCTGTAAAATGGCTGACTTTGCCATCAGGTAAATATTGCATGCTTCTATACGAGATGTTTTACATTGATTTAAATTTGAGTGTTTGCTCCCTGGTAATTGGACCACGTAACCAGTTTATGGGTCATAATTTTAGGAAGCTTCAAATTCTGTCTCAGGTTTTCTAGTTTCACATATTTAGATAATAAATGCAGGTGTTTGATATATAATTGAAATAGCAGAACTCATTTCTGGGTCTGCATGTAAAAATACAAATAATTCCTAGTCCATCAGTGTATTGGCTTTCCAGACCAAATAGTATCATGCGAAATTGTTTAAGCGGCCAAATGCTGGACTGGTGTCAACATTCTCGGTCTCGTCAGCAGAGTAGAGTCAGGCTTTGTTAAATAAATGTTGCCAATAGGCCGATGGACTAAAATATATTTGTATTATTATGTGGAGACACAGAATGGATTACGCTTATAATTATGTTAACCCATAATGCATCACGGCAACACATAATGATTATATTCTTGCAATCCGAGTTTAACAATTATGATGCACCAGTGTTGAGTTTCAATTGGCCACGGTGACGCTCTGGTTAAGGCACTTCACTCAAAGTTGGAAACTTCTCAGTTAAAGTCCCGTGTTAGGAACCGACTTGGCCTATCATCACTCCATTGTTGAAATAATAAGTACCGTTTTGTCGGAGGTCAACAGTACTTATCCTTGGGAAGATTGGCCTTTTGCCATGTAAATTTAGAATTTCCACCACTGGTTTAGAGTTGCCACTGAAGGCCAATGTTTTATTAAAACTGTATCTCCACAGTAGGGAGAGAAAAATATATATGGAACTTGCAGGTAATGTCCTAATAAACAGATTCAATAGCTTCGAAGAGCAAACTGATTAAATTGATGTCAACCCTTTAATTATGAATTAACTAGCATAGCACGTAGAAAAGTAGGTTAAAGTTTGAGGAGCAAATAGAGAACTAGATACACACTGTGTGTAAATTACCGGAAACTTCACACAGTAATGTGAATGTAGTTACATTCTGAAAATGAACTTGACATTAAACCAAATTAACAACTGTGTAAACACTTAAAACGTGGTCAGTGCTTATCTTCAAAGTTCTTGTTAATGATGTTAATGTATAAAGACTTTTCAGTGACATGTTGCAATTGGAGGCAATTTTTTGATACATTTTATCCAGCTTTCTATTTACACATATCTTTTAATGTAAGCAAATGGTTTATATTCCAGAACAATGATTTCAGCATATCGATACGTTTGCCACAGTTAATTTCGCCTAACTGCTTGTCCCATAATCGCTTGCATAGATTTTCATCGCACTCATAGAATATGCTGATGAACTTTTAAGTTATTTTCTATACTTACAAGCACTCCTGATAGAATTGTTTAACATTATAATTGCTATTAGTACAATATGTTAAATAAGAAGCGTGTATGCTTTTACTCGTTTAACTTATATGTATTTGTTGTCATTAGTGCATTTCATGCTTTGCATTATAAAGATACGTTATAAAACCAACAAGCATGTAATGATCCGCGATTTTATTAAAAACATATTTAACTTTGTGTCTCGTTTTTACCATCGCGTTTGCATTGTTTCTACATTTTTTTTTAAATGTCTTTGCGTGGCAATGTTGATCACAATATTTAGCCTAAGCATAATAATTGGCAAAAATCTAAATAACTTTTCACATAAATTCAATTTGCATAAATGAACCTTATAAATAATCTTGATGTGAACTTTTCAACGACGGTGACGTAAGCGTACTATTCTTTTTCGATTTAAAGCTTTCGTGACTGCAGGGATTCATCTTCTTGGTTCTTTCGGTAAAGTCACGTAGAAGGGAAGTAATAAAATAATAAAAATAAAACATAATAAAATCATTCTCACGACGTTTCGGCCACAACGCAAGCAGCCGTCCTCAGGTGAAGAATGACGTTTCGGCCACAACGCAAGCAGCCGTCCTCAGGTGAAGAATGAGGACGGCTGCTTGCGTTGTGGCCGAAACGTCGTGAGAATTATGTTTTATTTTTATTATTTTATTACTTCCCTTCTACGTGACTTTACCGAAAGAACCAAGAAAAAGCGTAACATTCGTCATGAATTGATGCGTCGCTACAAGCCTGAAGACATCGGTCTCTGCATTCACGGTAACTGAGTGCGACGATGCATTGGAGAGGTAAAATATTTTGCGTGTTTGTACCTTTATTGATTGTAATGGTAGTAGAGGAAACCAAAATATAGTAGTAGGTTTTTACCCTTTTAAACTGGTACAAAACTGATACCTTTATTCAAGGCATCATGTTTGCAATAACCACAACACAAGTAGTCAAAAAAGCAAACAAAAAGAAGCAACTCTGATAATGATAATAGGACAGTGCATATTATTATCATTATCAGAGTTGCTTCTTTATGTTTGCTTTTTTGACTACTTGTGTTGTGGTTATTGAAAACACGATGCATTGAATAAAGATGTCAGTTTTGTACCAGTTTAAAAGGGTAAAAACCTACTACTATATTTTGCCACTCGTAAAAGAGATCTCAGAGGAAACCAAAAGTTTCGTTTATCATTCACAGTAATTGTATTTCATACTGTGAATAATACTGTGTCGTTTAGTATCGTTAATTCGCACACGAGGTTAATGTAGATAGATCGTTTATTGTCATTGTCACCAGTACAACGAAATTTAAAATGCTCACCAGTCAGGGCCTCATTCATAAATTTAAATTAAATAAAACAAGAAAATAAAAATAAAATTAAATGAAAGATAATCAATTTATACTATATATAAAAACAGCCCAAGTATACCCACATACCCACATAAGGTTACATTTTGTCATTGCACATCTCTATTTCACAGTCAATTGTAAACGCTATTACTTAATAATTAATTAGCATTATTGAGTGTGGTGATCGCTGTAGGATAAAAGCTCTGTTTGAATCTGTTTGTCCTTGTTTTGACTGATCTGAATCGTCTGCCTGATGGCAACAGCTCAAACAGTGAGTGTCCAGGGTGAGAAGAGTCCTTTATAATGTTCTGTGCTTTTTTGATGCAACGTGAACTGTGTAGTTCTTCCAGTGTGGGGAGATGGCAGCCGGCGATCTTTTGGGCTGTGTTGATGACCCTCTGGAGCGCTTTCCTCTGAGCCACTGTGCAGCTGGTGTACCATACACAGATGCAGTATGTAAGAATGCTCTCGATGGAGGCTCGGTAGAAGGACACCAGCAGTTTCTGTGTGATGTTATTATTCCTGAGAATTCTCAGGAAGTAAAGTCTCTGCTGGGCCTTTTTCAGAAGCTCAGTGCTGTTGGCGCTCCAGGTCAGGCCCTCCCCAATGTTGACTCCCAGGAAGCAGAAGTCTGCCACCCTCTCCACACAGTCCCCGCTGATGATTAGTGGTGGAGTGTCCGTTTTCTTTCTCCTGTAGTCTATTATGAGCTCCTTGGTCTTTGCGGTGTTAAGGAGCAGGTTGTTGCCCCTGCAGTATGCTGTCAGCCGCTCCACCTCGTCCCTGTAGGCAGACTCATCCCCCCCAGAGATGAGCCCCACAACTGTGGTGTCATCAGCAAACTTCACAATGGTGTTGCTATGGTGGACGGCGGCACAGTCATATGTGTAGAGGGAGTAGAGCAGGGGGCTCAGTACACAGCCCTGGGGGGAGCCGGTACTGAGGCTCAGGGCTGTGGATGTATGACGGCCCACTCTGACCCTCTGTCTGCGGCCCGAGAGGAAACTAATGTCAAATTTGTCGCAATCCTATCGGCTGCTTCGCTGTTAATTACGCCACAGCAGCTGACCTTTGTGATGTGTGGATCTCTATAACGACCCTCATCACCATCACGGTGCAGTGGTGTGCGGAGGCAACTGATGTGTCCACGAATGCCTTTTGAAATATGAAGTTATACGTTTCAGGTATGCATTTGTTGTGTTTGTTGACAGCTTAAATAAAGCATTCTTTTCTGGTGTTATTCGTTACAGGCAACATTCATCACTGGTTATGATTGTGATGTGGTTCATGATGTGGTGGTATCGGAGTGGCTCTTAGATGAAGATATGACCTGCTTTGTGTTTACATTCTGACTCAACAGCAAGATATGTATGCACCTTTCAGATTTGTACATGTGAAGTATTCGGAATGACGGCAGGAAACCACTTGACGGGTAGCACACTCTTTTATTAAATCTTGACTTGTTACGATACAACGTGTGGTCTCTATTCTCACACTACACACTCCACTGACACGTGTGGTCACTACTTCTCCCGCTACACACTCCACTGACACGTGTAGTTACTATAGCTTACGCTGCATGCTCACACTGCATTCCAGCCCCGTAACGTCCATGGAGCCTACAGACCCACCCCAAGCTTGGGCGTGGGTCACAACCTCTGGGTCCCGCGAGCCGGCCCTCACATGGACGTTCGGCCCCAGGTCCCAGGGTCCCGCCTCTGGGTCACACAGAGCCCCGGTCCTTACAAGGACAGCGGAACTAGGTGCCGCAGGGCCCTATCTCTTCCTCCGCCGTCTTCAGTCTTCGCTGGTCACCAACTCCCCGAGCGCCCGCGCACACCGCCTTATATAGCCCTCTTGCGGACCGCGATGTGAGCACCCACTAGTCGACCAATCACGGCGCGCTGTTCCTACGATCCGTTTTCCCAGCGCGTGTTACCACTCCACAACCAATCGCCCCGCGCTGCCACACGATCACTCCCTGTCAGCGCGCGTCACCAACACACAGCCAATCACCACCACATAACCCATGACCCCGCGCTGCCCTGTGATCCCTCACCGTCAGCGCGCGTCACCGGCACACAGCCAATCACCACGCGCTGTCCCACGATCCCCACTGTCAGCGCGTATCACCACTACACGTCTCAACGTTGTAGCAACCAGACCAGCTGACATCATGGTTTAAAAAAAAAGTATATGTCAGTCCCTTTATCAGTCCACTGCTGAATGAAGGCCTCTTCACACCGTGGCAGTCATGGGGGTCGTTTGGCCCATACTTCACCATGTTGGTCAATGCTGGTTGGTGAAGCGGGCCGGTGGGGTCAGGACCACTTCATATTTCACTCGTCACTCATGTTAGGCAAGTCCAGGAATTGAACTGTGCCCTAACCACGGTGTCTGCTGGTTCATCCCCAGCGGATTTGGTATCTGGCTTAAATTCAGGTTCCTATTTTTGTACGACAACATTTGCCATGTATATATCTTAATAATTACATCCAAAGCCTGTGATACAAAAGTAAAATATGTACTCAATCTAGTTATTTGCAGTGGGCTGCTTTTGACTGCTGAGTTAATGCCGTTTGTGCTTATATTCGGTATTATTTGAAATGAAATTTTAAGCGATTTTATTTCAACTTCCCATCCGCAGTCATCAATCTCCTAAACCTCGAACCTCCGTGACTATGTTGGGTAGATGGATTGAACTTTGGAAAATAACTCAACAACCTTTGGTTAAATATATCACTGTTAGCTGAGAGTTGAGTGTGGACGGTGGTTAATGTATCCATTCAAAACAACACATCGCCGCTGTGAAACGGGCACCCACGTAAAGTTTCAGTTTGTCAATTCGTATTTTTTTCGTAATTTGTCGCGCTCCAAAATTATTTACTAGTTTAAGTGCTTTTTCAAATGAATAGCCCTGACTCTGCAGCTCGCCCGTTAGTTTATGGGCTTTTTTATTTTACGCTGACCGCCAAAGGTGAATTACGTGGCTCTCTTGTTCCGGTGTGGTCTCGGTGCCTAATCGCTTAAAATCAATTGAAGCAATAGCTGCCCGCAGTATGCCGTGGATGTTATTTGTTATGGATCTATTATTATCTGTGGAGCGCGTGCTATGTGGTCACATCCATCAGGGAGACGGCAGGGAAGAGAGGACTCCCGACAGCCATTGCACAATGTTCAAAGATAAATAAATAGCGGGCACCCAACACCCTGCCGCGAGGTCTTCTACAGTTGTGCCGTATGGCTCTGCGATGTGTGGTTCGGGTCGAAGCGGCCTGTCACTGGGCGTGGTGTTCGACGTTTCGCTGCACGTGCTGGGAGCTCCTGAAGAGGCGACTTGAAGCTCCCCAGCACGTTGAGGGCATTGGCAGATTATTTCGCACCTCCGATTAGCAGGGTTGGCTACGTACGCTGCGAAAAAAATCAACAGACAAACATCGTGCCAAACGACACGCGGTGCACCAAAATCGCAGCCGACAGCTATTTCTTCCATATTACTTCCCCCCCCCCCACACCATTGTATTATGAAGGCGAGGATGCAGCTGAATGTGGTAAAGCAGTAGCAGCAGGTGCCACTACTTGCGAGTCTCTTTGCAGCATGACAGACGGTACACCGCCACGCTCAGGGTGCATGCCGGCACAGCGATCTGATGAATCGTCACGATTCGGTGCCATGATTTGAATCAATTATACTCTTACGCATGGCAATAATAAAGTGTGTTCAAGAGCTAAATGCCAACCAATGTCGTGGTCTGCGAACCACGAGAGGCATTCAGGAGAGGAAAGTCCGTTGTTTTGCTTTTCCTCCATTATTTGTTTAAGTAATTTTCAGCAAATATTTGTACAGGCTTGTATTGTTTCTGGGTTTTTTTACGAGCTTGTAAAGTTGTGTTCATTCCCTTAGCCTGGATATAACGTATGTTTGGGCACATTTTTTAAATATATTCTTACACGGATGTTCTGATTCGTGTACGTCGAGTGTAAGAATCGATTCATCATTGCATGCTTTGTCAACACCAATTCGGTCGTGGTTGTGCAAGCCAGTGAGTCATCCCTGTCATATGAATGTGGAATTTTCACACCATTCGCTGAGGGCAGCCAACAGCCATCCTCCCACATAATTATAATCTGAACACCGTTACAAACTCGCATATCATTTTCTCAAATGAAATAATACGCATCATGAGATACATCATAACGGCTTGGGGAGGCTTTCATCCAGTAGTGGATAGTGCATGACTGATGGTTGAACATGCGATCCCATGGTATTCGCTTGCTGGTTTTTATTTTGCAGTCAAATATAATTGCAGTTGCCAGATTGTGACTGCCCCATTATATTCTTTGGGTCTTTCGGTAAAGTCACGTAGATATCTACGTGTCTTTATGAATTCCTGCAGTAACGAAAGCTTTAAGTCGAGAATGCCCCATTATTGCTGCTGCAAATCACAGCTCCTTTGCTGGAGGGAAATCTTCGATCAATAACCATCATAAGGAAATCGGTTGGCATCAGATGGCACTGATGACTTCACAAATGAAAGTGCATCTGATAGCTGTATACCCTCTGAGGATTGTGTCAAACCTCTTTGTTTCGAGTCGCCGTCCTGAATGAGATAACTAGCTAAGCTCACGTGAATGCCCTTCCGAACGGTTTTCTGCTTACGTCTTCTGCAAAACATCACTGCTCAACATCGGAACGTGTCGGTGAGTCACCGGGAAAGAACGGGACGTGGTAACGCAATATGGACTAAGAGCCTGGGAGGAGAGGCAGCAGGTGAATCCTTGCCGGCGAGCTAATGTCAACATTTGCCGAGCATAAAGGGGAAACACCTCGTGACCTGGTAAGGAAATGCCTGCCGTGGGACAGACATTTTGCAACGTTTCAGCTTAAATGGCAGCGGGATCAACTCTTGGCAGGTGCTTCGTAATTGACGCCAAACTTTGTCTCTTCCTGGCTCTACTCTCGGATGCGTGCAACACAAATAATACGTGCGGGGAATTTCCCACCAGGGCAACTTGGATTATTCACCTGCCCTCGTATCGAATGGCCTGGATCTAATGGGTAATGTTTTTTTCCTTTTCCCTCTCTCTCGCTTCTCTCTTCATGCTTTCAAGTTCAACGAAAACACCTTTGTGGAAGCGAGTAAATGTAATGCTTTGCGTGAACTTGTTTGTTATTGCAATGCGCAGCGGTCATTATTTTATCCACTTTGTTCCCCCCTGCAGTTTCCTGTTGAGGAGTTCAAAGTGAGTGATCGGTGGACGTGAACCTCCCTACCCTCTAATTTGTGGCGACAGAGCTATTGGGCTGCTACTTTCAAACAGCTCTATGGACTGGGTCCAACTGAACAAGCAAAAAAAAGGCAAGATATTTAAATGCAGACTTTAGCAGCAACGTAACAGCTGCTCTCAGCGAAAAAAAGGCGTCGGACATTATATTAACGTGCTGCCTTTTTAGAGTCGTCTACTCTAAGACGGTGTTTGGTGGTGAGGCATTTTAAATCTGTATTATGTAATCGCTACGAACGATACAATCGAGGGCTTTTAACATTGGCGGGGGTGGGCACGGGGAGGCAACGCCTCACCCCCCCCTCCCAAACTGGACTCCTTTATTAATTTATTTTCAATAGTTGACAGTTAACATTTAAAATAAATTGATTCATTTTATACACAAGAGATGCCTAATCTGAGGGACAAAGTGAACCCCTGCCACCCCCCCCCCCCAAATATAGAAGTCACGCTCCGCCTTTGACTTTTAATAACATTTAGCATTAAGAACGTCTCCATATCAACCTAAAAGCCAACGCTTTATTTCGTATTTCGTATTCATCTTCCCTCAATCAGTACGTGCTGTGGACCCCTTGCCCTGTTCAAGTCCTGCCTGTGCATGCGAACATTTATTTATGTTCACATCTCAAAATGCGGTCGTATTTAGATGCGATACAAATCCAAATGTCACCCTTGCTAAAGTGCAAACTTCATTCCAAAGCTTCTCAATGCAAGGTCATCTCGGGTTCAATCTCACACCACTGGCATGAAGCGTGTAACACCCATCACTACCCAGCGTACATCCCATCATCTTCTTGGTTCTTTCGGTAAAGTCACGTAGAATGGAAATAATAAAATAATAAAAATAGAACATAATATTATTTCCCTTCTACGTGACTTTACCGAAAGAACCAAGAAGAGGAATCCCTGCAGTCACGAAAGAAGCTTTAAATCGAAATACACCCCATCACTTTACATGCCACCAGGGCCATCACCATCACTATTCCTGCATCGACTGATCGAGAGCAAAGGTCGTGGACACCAAAAGGTAAATATGGGAATCCCTCCGAGCCTGCAGGCTGGAACGTGAATCCACGCTTGGCAGATGCCACCCTATTACAAACAAACACAAAAAACAGCCGTGCCTCGCAGCAAAGTGCCTGCAAGGCCAGACCGTGGGCTCTCCAGGTGAGACTCTAAACGTTCAGGTAGCAGAGGTCGGCGTATTATGTCGGCACAGGCGGTCCTGCAGGCAGAATTTTTTTTTCAAACATATTTATCTGGCGAGCACAGCAAACAACGCATGACACTAGAACCACGCACTGTCAAATAGGCCATCAATCACACGCACGCAGGCAGGCAGGAGGAGAGGTCGAGGGGGGAGCCACCCGAGGCGCTGTCCGCTCGTTCAGCCCACGGGTGGCTCCGAGGCGAGCGCCTTTGGGAGTCACTGCCGCTCGAAAGGGAACCTCGCGGATGCCCTTCAGCGGCACGGCGATGGGGGAATGTGCGTCAAGGGGGCCGGCATTCCGCACGCCACGATGGATTCCTTCTCGTCGCGATGACAGATGAGGGCTGAGGTCTCCTTACAGCTGTATACATACTCCCCGAGTCCACGCTTTTCACGTTTCTTCCCCTCGTCCTCAATCATCCCGGACACCTGCGGGGGCATTTCTCGTCGCGCTCGAACTCGATATCACAGTCGTTGCAACGCTTTCACAATTTAAAAGGATTATCTCGCGTCGGTATAATGCGCCGAAAAAAAGAAAATGTATACTTTTTTTCCCCCCCAAGTTTAAACTCGCCATCAAAAGCAGAAGCTGCGAGCGTTGGTCACTCGTGCGACACCTTATAATAGTGCGTGCGAAGTCGTAAATGTTTTGAAGAACAAGTTACGTCAATGGATGTTGAGTAAACATTTTTGGTGAAGTTCATTTTTTTCCTCACTCTGGTAATCGTTTGGTAGACTCGTTAGAAATCAAGCGTGTGAAACAACACGTGGAATTCTACCACGTGGCATGTGCAAGGCGGTGCAGAAGGTCGGGCTCTTTGTCAGTGCAGATTTTGAGAGTCGTTCCCTTCGGTGGCTTTATTCTGAGCTCCGCCTCGCCCCCACCTCACACGCTGGATACTCAATAATTGCCCCAACTGCTCAAGCCGGACCCTGTTGAAAGTGATTGAGACTCGCCAAGTCTTTAGTAAATAAGGTTGTCCGAGTGTAGGCCGATGTTATTCTCCGCTTGTGGTACTGAGCAAACGGTGGAAATTGCACTTCCCTGTATTGAGGACAGTCTCTATAGGCGGGGGAGACGAGCACTGTTGGCTTCCAACACAGTGGGACTTGTTCTAATGACCCCAGAGGAAGAATAGGCTGAGTCAGCCCCTGACCCAGTTTTAAATTGGCTAAATTCGAATTTTCAAGATGACTGCTCTCACCATAGTACTGCCTGGATTATTATTGTTATTGGATTTTCAATGTTTTAACGGAAAATAAAAGAATGCACAATCCACATTTAAAATGTTGGAGAGAAAAAACGTCAACGGTACAAACTGACCTTCAAACGCGCGCAACGGAGATGGGATCCAAGCCAATGCCCCCGTCTCTATGGGATCTAAGCCAATGCCCCCATCTCTCTGTGGGATTCAAGAACGATGCCCCCCTCTCTATGGGATCCAAGCCGATGCCCCCAGTTTCTCTGTGGGGCGTTGGCTGCCTCACTGTAAATCCGCACTTGGACGCTAAAAAGGCCTCTAATCGCCAAAGCGATCTGGCTTGTCTCTGAAAGAACATGATGTTTGCGGCTCAAGGTGGAGTTTTATATTCTAAAAAGGGGGTGGCATAATTGTCAGTCAATTGTGCCATAACCTGCTCCTTTTCCGCATCAGTGACTGAGCATAGGCCCAAAGTGCCAAGTGGCTATCGGCAAACAGCACTATTGAATGTGTAATAGATTAAGTGTTCATAGTTTTCTTGAATTTCAGCAAGGTTATAAGAACTTGGGGAAAACAGATGATGCGAGGGAATTCCAAACTCGAGCAGAACTGGAGAATAAGCGTAGAGAAACGGGGGTTTTTTTTCATCGTAAACTGGGCTGCTTAACATCGGGGTGCGAAAACGTATTTAGTAAACATGGGAGCTCAAAGCGAAGGCACGCTTTGTGACATTGGCAAGCCGGTGTGTGCAAAGAGGTAGAAACAGCGTCTCGCGAGAAAGCAAACGGCAAAATGCTTCGTCAACACACGAGGCGCATGGAATGTGAGCGCGACAACCTCTTTAATGCCACTGCAACAAACGGAGACTGCAACATGGCATAACACTGTGATTGCTTCTCAGCAACAGACGTGCCACACAACACAATGTTGGCCAGCCATTCGGAGACAACCAAGCGAGCGCTATTGTTTAATTGTACCCGCGATCTTGCAGGAGAGTATTTTCGTGACCCTCTGGAAACGCGACAACACATAATAACACAAACGGTCTAGGATGGTGACATTCCCTTTCTTGGTACCAGTCTCCAATGTGGACAAGCACTGTCTGATGCTCAGTATACATTGATTACTTTACACAATCGTGAATTATTCCACTCTCTCAGCATCGCTCTCTGATGCGTTTCCAGGTTGTTGCCGCGTGTTCTTTAACACCATGTCCAACGTTTTGGACCCCGTGCTTGGCGTTTCTTCGGAAATGATTTGCCGTCACGAAGACCAAAATGCGGTACAACCTGGAAACACGCCGGAGAGCTCCACAGCACAACCACAAACACCTAAATAGTAATTTTATGACTCTTACATTTCTTTATAAAAATGTAGCGTGAAGTTCAGGCAGCGTCCACTTAGGTACTGTATAAGCATCTATACTATGCCAATGCATCGGAAGGCATTTGTTTAAAGGAACGTACAGCTTATAAAAAAAATGTTACAATTTAAAAAATAAATATACGTGTGTTTTAAGATACAACAAACAAAGCATTTAATATAGAATTGTTTTGTACAAAATACAATAGGTTTTTTGGCTGTAAATAATTTCATATTTTTCATAAAAAGAGTATTATGAAAAAATACTCATTTTGTAATCCTTTTGTAATGTACCTGACACCTTCAACATAAATTCAGATAAATTAACCGTAAAATGAAAGTCCGACTTACGACGGGCATCTTTCACGTCCGTATTTCCAAGCATAGCCCGTGAGGACATGGTAATGGCAGGCAGACGCGTCATCGCATGACATCGCTGATGGGGGCAGCCACGTTACCATTCGGGTTGCACATCCGAGGTACAAAACAAAACAAAAAACAGGGACATATGGGAAGAATAATATCTCACGATACCGGAAGAGTGGGAGAGCAACGTGTAAATACGCGGTGTCTTGAGTGGCGTCGTTCTACAAAAAAAACGTGACTTTAATGCTCCCGGGAAGACTTAAGGATTTCCCAGGAGAGATATCTCTCAACAAGATAAAGGTCCTGGGAAAACGAGAACAGGTGGCAACTCTAGCCACATCACCACGACTGCATCACAGAGAGAAAAACGTTACCCGTGTGTGTGGCCTTTTTTTTGCTTTAACTGTGACCTCTCTGGTGCAAGGTTTCGCCCCGAGACTTATTCTGGATCACCTCCATCTCACGATCGCAACGCGGCTGCTGCGTCCCAGAGGCAAACAAAAACAAGAGCTAAGAAGGAAGAGGCCCCAACTACAAAAAAAAGTGAGAGGGCTCCTCCAGCTGACGCCGTGAACTGGGTGGCGACACAAGGGAACGGTCGCGGCTGTCGAAGCGAGGTCAGCGGCCTGCGAACGGTGACGAGCTTGGCCACCCGCAAAGCAAAAACACCACCACCGAGGTCACAACATCTGACCCGTGGCCTTAGGACAGCGTTGCTTAACGCGAACACGGCCGATTTCTCAGCCGATTTCTCGGCCGTCCGGGAGCAGTCGGGAGCATTTGTGGTAGTAGCACCAAATTTATCTTTTGTTAAACCCCTGTTTTTTTAATTGATAAATATATACCGTTGCTTCTTCTGTGTGGATTACAGAAAAAGCCACGAAAATGGACTCTACGATGGCACGTTAAAGCAAACACTCGGGCTTTTGTCAAAGTGACCTTCTTGGGGCAAGTCAAAGCACCATTTATACGTTTGGTGAACCACCGTCTGAGGTTCATCAAGTCCAATTCCGTCCGCTTATCTTCAAACATTCTCTCCATCCTTAAAGAAACACTGTTAAGAAATGTATTCTGATGTTATCCAGCCTTTAAATCTCCATTGAATAAAAAAAACAAAATTTTATAACTGACGAAGAGAATTAAAAGGCTTACCGTTGCAAAGAATGGTATGGGTGATGAAAGATAAATACGGATTGCATGATAGTTTAGTGCAACCTTGACCAACTGATTCATGCCTGGAATATGCCCAAAGTTTGTTCATTATATGCCTCTTCTTGCGCCATTCACACTCGTGCAATGCGCATATTTTGTGCCCTTCACATGTTATTAATTGATTTATTTTCTATCAATGTTTTGTGAGAACGCTTAAAACACAATTTTTTTCGGGGTGCCACGAGGACGAGATGTTAACTACCTCACCTGGTATACAGGAGATTGTGGGTTTCATCCCGAACCATGACGCCTGTACATTTGGAGTTTGCATGTTCTCCCTGTGGTGGCGTGGATTTTTCTCCAGGCCCTCCGGTTTTCCCCTCCACATTTATAATTGTAATCAACGTGGGTTTAGAGTATTTGGCTGCTATAAATTGCCACACGATAAGCCACTTTGTTGAGCTATCGTCTGTGGCCAGGTCGCTTCTGAAAAAGAGCTACATAGCTCAGTGAACCTTACCTGGTAAAGTAAAAAAATAATTTAATTCTTTAATAGTTTGAACCTCTCAGCTTTAGTCCTTAGTAAGAGACTCATACACACGTCATTACCATACTGGTTCTTCTAGATTTTAAGTCTCTTTGCAAGGCGTCTCTGGTCACTGATTAACACCGTTGTCTGGCAGGAAATAATTAACTCGAGTAAGTGCTTGTAAAGCTGCGACTAGGGAGATGCAAATGAAAAGAGAGGGGGCTGTGCTTCTCTTTTGAAACGGGCACCACAACCTCTCAACATGGCGTGCTCCTCATTCACCAGATCAGCGAAGCACATTGAGCCACGGGCTGTGGCCAGCATTACCACGGCATTTGTACACCACTTGAAGCTGCCTATAATTACGTACGTGTAATAAATGCACAGATGAGGCAAGCCGCATTCTTGGCCATTCATTGACCTTTGCCTTTACCAGCTAACAGTTTTGAGGTAAACACGCCAATAAAGCCGGTCTCCTTTAAGCCCATTTCCCTCCGTGTATGGATGCAGCAGAAGTGTAAAAAGAAAGTACAAATCGAAGCATGTCATTCTGGTTTTTTTGGTCGGAAGAATGGAGCCACTTTTGCCTCTTCACTCGTCAGGGCCCCCGCAGCACCTCGGTGAGCAGCAACACGACCCCAACGTCTGCTCTGTCATCTTTGGCGAACATTTGCGTTCGGCTTGAACTGAAGCGAGAGGCTTCATCGGGCCCACCTGCCGCCCCGCGCGCAGCAGCAGCAGTCAGTCACAGCCGTTAAGTCGCTGAAAAGACGGAAGGAAGGGCAGGCAGCGAAGTGGAACAAATATGTCCTCAGGGTCTGTTTCGTAGGCACGGGGGTGGGGGGGCAGGCGGAGGAAGTGGAGGGGTACCAAGCACAGCAGGCTCCGCTGGCCGCCAGCCACTAGCCCCGCTAGCCCCGCTAGCCCCGCTAGCCCCGCTAGCCCCGCTAGCCCCGCTAGCCCCGCTAGCCCCGCTAGCCCGCAGCGCCGGGGTTGAGCTTGCGCTTGCGGCACAGGTCGGCCAGGCCCTTCATGAGACGCGTCTCCTCGGGCCTGGAAGAGCCTCAGGAAGCTGTCGTGCTCCAGGAGGATGCGGTTGAGCGTGCGCTCGAAGTTGACGTGACGGCGCGCCATGAAGACGTACTCGCGGTGCTCCAGCACGCGCGGGCACTCGCACACGTTGGGCACCCACACGTATTCGCGCGTCGTCAGCGGGAAGTCGCTCTTGTACGTGCGTGTCACCTGCACCTCGTAGCGAGTCTCCAGGCCCATCGTCTTCTTGCCCAGCACCTTGCCGCGGAATACTGGCAAGCGGCCAGCGTGCAAAGGGTCACGTACGGGGTGGGAAGAGCGGGAGAGCGGTCAGAAGGGTGAATGTGGAGGAGGGGGAAGGTCAAAGTTTAAGTGTCACCGAGTACTGCTCAGGCAGTGGTTGACATTGGACATTTGTTTGTTTTGATTTTAAATTCACTCTGAAAATATCACAAACACCTCTTGCCCTGTGGAATTGGCATGTGGGGAAACCCAAACTTGTTCACTTATATTTTTGAGAGTGAAGTTGAATCCACTGTTAGATAAGGCCTCATCATGCCATGTAGATCATGGGGGTTATTTGATCATACCTCACCATGGGGATCAGTGCAGGTTGGGGAAGCTGGTGCGCATAAACATTGGACCGGAGTACTGTACAACAATGTATTTTGTTGCACTGCCCTCTGCTGACAACCTAGCTCTGCAGCAGCCTACAGCATCTGTTCTATGCATGATGGTCACCCATACAAGTGCTATCCAGGCTCAAGCCTGCTTAGTTTCTGATGAGATTGGATGCATTCCATGCCATTTTGTCATAGGCATGTGCTATGGTGGTGACAATTCTCTGTATAGGTGACTTTCCACAAAGCGGTATTTATTTTATCCACCCTAAGGTGGTGGTAGGTTGAGGTGTCCATTGACCAAGATCTGATATTTGAACCTTCTGCCTGAGTCAGATGCTCTAACCAAAGCGCCCACCCATGTAGTTATTTACTTTTCTTATTTGCAGTAATTTCGTTATTTTTGCGTGTGGAGTTGTCCCCTTGTTAATGTCCTCTCACCGAAATCCTTCTCACAGAACTGCTTGATCCTGTTTGACCTTCCTCGGACCTTCTTGCACCGCGAGCAATATTCTGCCAAACAACAAATTGCAAAATTAACATACCTTAGAAACGATTATCATACCGACGATTTTCTCAGAAACGACATTTTTCAGGTCACAGGAAATTGACAGAACATACTATTAGATTTGAACTTTCTTTTGGTGAAAAAAACATGGATTGGACTCCCATGATAATCCTGTAATATTATATTTGAAGGGCAAAAATGCTAAATTTAAGAACGTTTCCTGGTATAACTACATTTAAGGCTGGAGTGATGTATCGATCAAAATTGATTCTAAAGCTCACAATACGTGTATCGGATCACGAGTGTAAGAATGTATGTTTAGCTATAAACGTCAATTGCATTAATTGGGTTTACATGATCCTCACAACTAGAGACATTAATATTCACTGCAAGATTACGAAAAATAATCCATTCTTGAACTGAATCATGACAATCGAATCGTCGGGACCGACATACTGTATAAATTCCGTTCAATAAAATGTCATTCATCTTAATTTCTCATTGAGAGGTTTGTAAATATTGGATTATTCCCATTAATCATCAGCTACAGCTGAAGGACACGGGTAAAAAGAAATCCCTTTCATGACATTTACCAAGACGTCTCAAGAGGTTGCTCAGAAAAACAAGCGGAACCTTTTTTTTTTTTGCAAAGGCGTGAAGATGAGATGGTTCAAACTCCAAGTCGAAATGTCAGCGGGAAAATTAGGTGGCCATTTCTAAACCTGGAAGATAATTTCAACACTTGGAAGTAGCTTGAGAAAAGGTTTGTAAGCTTGGTTATTTTCCTCCTCTGAGTCACCCCGTGCATCCGAGAGAGGGAGAGAAGTGGGGAGGAAAGAGCTTTCTGGCTTGTCATCGATTCAAAGGCCACGACATCTGCGTGTTTCGGGTTTAATGTCCAGGGTGATGCACCGGGCCAAGTACGCATCAGAAAACAAAATACAGATCGCTAAAGCCACTCGCGACAGAATTTACAAATCAACAGCATGATTTACACATCACAAACCAGGGCAATTGGTTTAATTCTCATCTTGTTTTTGGGTTCTAACTGTGATTCAAAATAACTCAGCCATCATAATTAGAGCCATTGCGTATGTCACGACACACTAACTAATGGTATTTGAACCTGAAAAAAGCATTTTAAATATTTTATGGGTGTCCACTGTACTTATTATAATGATAACAAATCTCTTGGTTCCTTCGGTAAAGTCACGTAGAAATAAAAAAATAAAATAGCATACGACGTTTAGATTGCAACACAAGCAATCATCATCAGGTACGAAGGAATGAGAAAACAAACCTAGTAAACTTAAAAATATAATGCAATACAACACAGAGAGTATTGCATTATTTCTTTCTACGTGACTTCACCGAAAGAACCAAAGAGTAATTCCTGCAGTCACGAAAGCTCCAAATCAAGTTTGATAACAAATCTGTTGGCTCGTGCACCTGCACATCTCGCCAAAATCTCTCAATCTTCAAACAATAAGCGGCTTATTCTGCCGTATATCTGCAATTCTAAAGACCCCTGGGGCCCACGGCCGCTCCCGCTGCCGCCAATGCGGGACCACAGCGGCTTGCACCTGAGAGGCGTGCTGGGTGCTGTGCCACGAGGCTGGAGAGCGCAGTGCGTCGCTCTCTCCCGCGTTCCCCCTTTGCTTTGCTGCATCTGTAATCGTCTTGGCAATGCGGGCGGCATTGGCAATGATTTACTCGCCAAAGCTCAGGACTTAATTTCTAACTTTTTTTTTTTTCTGGAACGCTGCTCGGCTGCCGTGGAGTTTGGATTGTCGGCGTAAGGCACTGCCAATAGAGTACATGGTCATGCCTATCCATAATAATCCTATATTATTGTACCCTATATAACTATAAAATACAATGAACGTGTTTATAAAAATTAGATGCGTGCCAGTGTGCTTTGGGTGATTGAAAAGGCGAGATGAGTTTGGCGTCGTGCTAAAATCATCCTCAGATCAGCGTTTTGTGGACTTCTCCGGCTGAAATAATGCACTGGGCAAGCGCCATTGAGTCTAAATGCTCTTTGTGAAAATAGTTCTGTATTGGGATTATATCTGAGTTCATGTGATGGGGGGTGCTATGGACGGGTCCTATTATCCGTGTTTGTCAGTTCAAATTGGTCCTGTTATCCAAGCAGTACCGCGCAGAAATACACGGGGGTAAATCTGTTGGCGACTTGCACATCACTCCTCGGCAGTTGCGCTGCATACCACAGGCTGAGAGGACAGGGCCCACTCACTGCACGGTTTGCGGAAGCAATTGAAACCCTAGCCCTGCTTTAATAGAGAGAAGCCACTGTGCGGGCGGTGTTGAAAGCGGTGTTCCATTACGAGCGAAATGTTACGAAGACAATCGCTGGGTTCCGTTTGTGGAGCTGAAAAAAATCAACTCGTCATGTTTTGAACAAAACATTTCCCCCTTTTTTTTCTCTTCCAAAATTGTCGACTAACTTCTTTCGAATTTGTCGACTAACATCTTCCAATATTGTCGACTCACTTACCGTGGACAAGGTTGTATGGCGATGTGGTGGTCACGTGACACACGCAGGCATGGCCCGAGTCTGGCCTTCCTACTGGCTGTGAGCGCACCTTCGCGTGTTGTTACTTCGAAGAGGTAGCTTTACGCTTTCCACAAATGGAGCTGTCCCTCTGTGACGGCAGCTACCACATGCGCTGTCGTCGTGTGCCGGAATGGATGCATTGGTTCAACAGTAAGCCTTCCGATCGTAGGTGACCGTAACTTCATGGACTCTGTCGTGTGTTGTATATTTTGACGTAAAATATTTTCGCTGCATCCTAAATGCATACATTTTTGTAAGTCGGATCAGGTTTTTGCAACAGAGTATGTGGTCTCTGGAGGGTGGAACGGTGGTGCAGTGTCTAGCAAACTGTGTTATGCACCTGGTGACCCGAGTTAGATTACTGGCCATGGCTGACATCAGTGGTGAGTGACATCTGGAACCAAATCCTGGGCCTTCACTCTGTGACATTTCGGGCAATGGCATCGCTTCAAGGAAAGGCATTATAACATCCTTTTTGTTCAACTCTGGAGGGTCACTTCACCGACGCTCGCTCGTGGAGCATACATGTAAGGTATGGTGCTTCTTTCGCGCCGTACGTAGCCAATCAATCGGAGCTGTCGGTGAGGCTGATGCATCTGCAAGCTGGGATTGCCAATGATGAGGCTGATGGGGATGGTGATGGGTTCGCTCGCGCAGGCGCTCACCGGGGGGAGGCGGCGGGGGCAGTCGTGGCCGCAGGACGCTCCGCGGGGGCTCGTAGCGCTGCTGCACCGAGTTCTGGACGTCGTGGCGCGGAGGGGACGCGGCGTCACGGGGCCCTGCCGCGCCGTGCCCTTGCTGGCCACTCTGCGGCACCCGGTTGGGGGTCTGCTGCTGCTGGTGCTGCTGGTGCTGCTGGTGCTGGTGGTGCTGCTGCTGCTGGTGCTGCTGCTGGTGCTGGTGCTGCTGCTGCTGGTGCTGGCGGTGGTCTCCGTAGCTGGCGGCGGAGCTGGCGTGCGGGTGTTGCTGCCCGTGTGCAGGGTGAGCGCCGTAGCGCTGGCGCTCCGGGGGAGGCTGCTGCTGCTGCTGAGGTTGGTGCGACTGCTCGTGGTGCTGCTCGTGATGGAGAGGTTTGTGGTGGGGGGACTGCTGCTGCGGCTGCTGGTATGGCTGGTGCATCTGCACCTGAGATTGCTGGTGAGGTTCGTGGGGATGGTGCCTCGGTTGCTCATGTTGGTGGTGAGGCTGCTGCTGCTGATGAGGCTGATGGGGCTGATGGGGATGGTGATGAGGTTGCTCATGTTGCTGGTGAGGCTGCTGCTGCTGCTGCTGGTGAGGCTGATGCATCTGCAGCTGGGATTGCTGATGAGGCTGATGGGGATGGTGATGAGGTTGCGAATGATGAGGTTGCGAATGAGGATAATGATGGTGGGGTTGCTGCTGGTCAGGTGGGTGGGACTGCTGTTGAGGTTGTTGATGTGGTTGTTGGTGTGGCCAAAATCCTGGCCAGCCATGTGGAAAGTGAGGCCGATCTGCGTCATATTGAGAAGGGAAAGCAATCTTAGAGCAACCACATGAAAGAAAAAAAACTCTTTGAAGCTGCAAACATTTTTAATTGAACATCCACTTGTAGAGCTCAACATGTTGTCAATGGTTGTGTTTTCGTACAGTCATTTAAGACCAACAGCAAAACATGTAGCTCATTTTCACTTCATTTGAACTGCTGTTTCATAAGACGTTCCTTCGTATGCTATAAGTGCGTGACACTGTTGATATATATTTTACCCCGGAGAACGTAAAACAAATAGCGTCCCCATGCTCAAGTTGAGTTTGGTGATTCCTGAGCCAGTGGTTAAAATTCCACATTGCAATGCTAGGTTACCAGTATTTTATCGTCGAAGGAAAAAAACACAATTGACTTCTCACTTCTCACCAACTTGATACTCACTTTTACCAACTCCAGAATGGTGACGATTGCCCAATTCAAACATGGCCAGCTTTTGAACTCATGATGTTAAACGATTCGGGGCCTGCTCCTTTACCAACTCAGACATGACCTGGGTATGTACAGATGCTCTTAGTGGTCATATATGGGGATAAAGTAATTTAAGCTTGTTCTTTTACATAATTACAGATACAGTCCTCCAAAGAGTAATTGATAGTGGTCTGGAATAGCATCTGTCTCAGAAGCAAGCATGAGTTCAATCCCTGGTCAGGGATACACTCAGCCCCACTCTGGAGTTAATCAAATGAGTAACAATTTCTGAAAAATCAACAGCAGTTGTTGTCCTTGTATAACTTGCCCCCGCCATACGTACGTGTGTGCTTTCCGTTTGAGCAAACTGACACCTTGATTTTGAATCCTATTGGAAATCTTTCAGAGGAGTGAAACCCTCCGTGATGAAGAATGCCCTACTGAAGCTGATATCATAGAGCTACCTCTGAGTTCCCTTAAAGTTTCCTCTGGTAGACGGCAACACTTCCCACCTGCCCTGCTACAGAGAATATGTTTTGTCGTATGGCAGTCAAAAACAATATATTTAAATTTGAGAATTGAACAGCGTTTTGTGACCGGCCAAGCAGAATCCATCAACTTAACCAGATGTGACCTCCTGTATTAAAACTCGGGACCTTGGTGGTTGCCAGCTTAGCTCTCTACGCCACAGTGGAGAAATGTTAACTACCTCGCCTGGTATACAGAAAGTAGTGGGTTTGATCCCGACCTTGACGCGTGCTATATATTTGGAGTTTGCACATTCTCCTCGTTGTTGTATGGATTATTCTCCGAGTCCTCCGGTTTTTCCCTCCACATTTAGAAACATGCGTTTAGAATATTTGGCTACTATACATTTCCACATGATAAGCCACCTTGTTGACCTATCATTTGTGGCCAGGTCGCTTCCGAAAAAAAGGCTATACAGCTCAGTGGGCCTTACATCTGTTCCACTTGGCCATCTCTCGGTTGTGAATGATTCATCAAACACGCACTTACATGGGGTGATGGTGGTGGTGGTCGTGGCAGTAGTGGTGGTGGTAGGAGGGGTAGTGCTGATGACCGGTGGCCAGGGCAGTAGGTCGGCGGGCCAGCCCGCATCCAGGAGAGCACGTTGCGTTTCCTGTATGTGGCTGTGCCTCTCGCTGGGCAGCCAGTACTCGTATTCAATGCCAGGGTTCTGCTCACGGAACAGCACCTGTAGAGCCGCACAGCACAGATTATAAAAAAACACCTTGCCCCACGACATCTCTTAGGCACGTGGAACTTCTTAAACTCAAACAATGAAAGCACAAATCCTCCGATAGGAACTAAAGAAGCATCCAGCAAGTGCAGTGAAACGTCGGGCATCATGCAAGTCAATATGCGGTACAACTCAAAAACACATCGGAGTCACACAGGTAAACTGGTTACTTCAGACTCTGTCTCCTCAACAGACCTGCTCTCCACCTGAGGACGGCTGCTTGCGTTGTGGCCGAAATGTCGTGAGAATTATTTTATTATGTTTTATTTTTACTATTTTATTATTTCCATTCTACGTGACTTCACCGAAAGAACCAAGAAGATGAATCCCTGCAGTCACGAAAGCTTTAAATCGAAATTGGTTACTCCAGGTTACGCTTGCAAATGAGGCCACCCTGGTCTCTTGGGTTCTCACCTGGTTGAAACAAATGAAATTGAGACTCCTGCATGATGAAGGCACAAATAGACAATATTGCTAGCTTGATAGCTGCGCATGCCTGTCGTGTGGCATCATCTGTAGTCGTACTGATTAAATAATAAAATCGATGGATCTATACATTTTAAAGAACCAGGTAAGAGCCCATTATAAGACCACAAGAGTGAGGCAATGGAGACTTGGGGGGTAATGTAAAAAAAAAATCCTACAAAAAGCATTTTAAAATACCCAAGGTGGAGTTGATGTAAAAAAAAATTGTCCGAAAATATTGTAATAATGCAAAACAGTGCAAGCATATTTAAGGGACGGTACCACTAACATTTTAAAATACGACCTCAGCTGCGTTCTTTCTCTGTACGTTGGCAGGTTCCACGCAAGTGCCCCCGCATAGTTGCATTCCTTTGAGAAGGCTTATATATTTTTTTCCCACTGTGGTGGCAGACGATGCGTTTGTGTTGAAACACGAAGGAGGAGCGGGGAGAGGTCAAGAGGTCGGAACACTGGAGAGGTGAGGCGGTGGGGGGGGAGGGAGGAGGAGGTTGGGGGGTGGGGACTGCGGATGTGTGAGGAAGGATTTGTAGGGGAACGCCCCCCAACGAGAAGCTGGTGCGTGAGAGATCTGACACGAGAGACCTGACGAGTGCTGAAAGCCCAAAATCTTATCAGATAGTGGTGCAGGCCGGTTAGAATTCCGGGGCCCGCATGCGTGTGCGCGTGTCCCCCAAGTGTTGACCCAGATGCGCCGGCCACCAGAGCGGCAACAGACGCAGCAGGGCCCAACTCTGAACTGTGCAAAGAGGTCATGACTGTTTCCTTAAGAACAATAAAAAAAAACATCCTACCCAGCATGCCCCTCCAAAGAGATCCACGTGTCGCCCTGACCCAGGTCGTGCCGATCTAGGTCACCCTCTATTAAGACATTCTTGAGCATCTTTTGCGAGGTGTTCCCGCTTTTGTGCACAAATACTGCCCGTGTAAGCCACGCATGCTCGCGAAACAAACAAGGCAGAGGGAGCGAGCTACTCAGTGGCATTGGGGTACCCAGCAAAGCGGACTGAGCTTGTTGCTGATGAGACTGGTGAAGGGTGAGAGTCTGGCCCAGGGCTGCCTGGCTCATTAAAGCAAATTTAGCTGAAAAACACGACTGTGGAGAACACATAGACAGATGGATACGTTTTTGTTTTATTTCGGTCACTGAATAAAAAAATCCTTATCTGTTAAATTATGCGGGATGTTTGATAGTCTGCCGAAGCTGCTACGTTATCAGGGCCACAGCTGATAATCACTGATTGATGGCTTTGCCATTAAATCCACTCTGAATACATGGCAAACACCTCCTGCCCTGTGGAATGAGTATGTGGGGAAACACAAATTAGGTCATCATGGGACCTCCTTTGCCAATACCAAAATATGATAATAGGTTTTACCCATTTTTTCTGGCAACAAAACAGGTGTTAAGATGTTAAAACACCAAACTTAAACCTTGTATAAGGAATCACGTTTGCAATAACCACAATGCGTGTGGTCAGAATGCAAACAAAAAACATGCTCTGATAATAAATGTATTGTCCTTGAAACTGACTGGTCCACACCAGAGACAGCTTTCTTTTGAGCCTCGTTTCAAACGGTGTTGGACCAGAGGACGCCAAAACTCCTGACCAGAGGACGCCTTTTGGACCAATCAGTTTCAAGGACAATGCATATATTATCAGAGTATGTTTTTTTATGTTTGCATTCTGACCACAAGCATTGTGGTTGATGCAGACATGATTCCTTGTAAAATGTTTCAATTTGGTGTTTTAACATCTTAACACCTGTTTTGTTGCCAGAAAAAAGGGGAAAAACCTATTATCACAAATTAAGTCAATTTGTCTTTTTGAAATGAAATTTAGTGGTAGGCGTACACATACGACCCTTTTAGTCAATCAACGACTGCATGAGAGCAACCCACATACGATGTGGGTTGCGGGAATTGTTTGAACATACTTCACTATGCTAGTCTGTGCTGGTTGGTGAAGCCAGGGAGCACATACATGGTCGAAAGGAGTGTGCCATGCACACACTTCTATTCAACTGTAAACTCAGGCTGTCTCGCAAAGGTTTGGTGGGTGAGTGAATGGAATGGTGGATGGGTGGGTGGACTAGATGGGTTGGCTGGTAGGTGGATGGGTAGGTAGGTGGGTGGGTTGGGTGGATGGAGTGGTTCTGTGGGAACCCCCGGAGTTGTATTCGAGCAAATGCAGGGTGTTTAGTCCTAAAATATGTGGCGTGGGTGAACTGGAAGAGCTTGGCAGTGAGGTGAACCGAACTTTTAAGTCTCTAATCTGCAGTACAAAACCAGTGGTGCAAACCCAACAACGGAATGGTAGCCGAAAGAAAGAATGTGCACTCAGGAATGACCAAACACCAGATAAAGCCATGAAATCAGAGCAGTGTTTTAAATAAAAATGTACTGTAGTCACACAAGACCAGATGCCACGGTGCCAGCATAGGAACAGTGCTGGTGCTGGCTCATTGGGCGCCCAAAGCAGATATGATATTTTGAAGCCACCATTCTATTTATAAAATCCCAGTGAGCCGACAGAAGAGACATGGACAAGAGATAGAGGCACAGTGAGATAAGAGAACTGGAGACAACAACAGAGAATCCAGGGCCCCTTGAGTTGTTTGGGGGCCCTACATTCTTGCTCGGTTTGCTTGGGCCTAGCCCCGTCACTGAAGAGGAAGGCCTTCAGCCATGAACACAAATAACAGATGGCACTGATTTCACAATTTCAACGAACCAGACTTGAATCTCGGCGATGGCAGGGATAGTTCTGTTGTGAAATGACAATGGCAGTGGCTTGCTGTGCATTGAAGAAGTTCCAGTAACTGCCGATTTACACATTACACAGGGAACTACGGAGAAAGCGTTGCCATCTTGCCATAGCGCAACTTTACACAACAGTAAATTAAAATAATACCTGTGCCAGTTCCACTAAATTGTAGCCATACACCCCTGTGTGTAATGCTACATTCAAACTTCGGAACGTTAACTTCCGTGAAAATGTCATGGATTGGCAGCTGGTGTGCATTTATGCTTGTCGACGGCAGTTCTTGTCTAATAATTATTGACGTGGTTGGCAGAAGAAGTCACGTAGTATGCATATCAATTGCAGCGTGTGATTATGAATGTCAGTGGCAGTGGTTGTCTTAACAATCATAAAAACAAATCCCTTTTTTATCCAGGAAAGTGAGTCTCAAGAGTCTTGATCAGGAGGGAGCTGCATTTGGATGTTTGGCCAAATTTATAAACAAGTGTTTGGCATGTGGGAGGAAACCAGAGTATCCAGAGATAACTCACGCATATCAGGGGGTAACACTCAGTGCTCCACACAGATAGATTCAAGAATCAATTTCTCTAAGCATATCGTGGTTCTCATCCAATCCAAGCCTCACAATACCTGGAAATCCTAGGCAGTTTCCCATCCAAGTAGTAACCAGGCTCAATTTTGATGAATTGTTGCTACTCAGCGTCGTGATTTGACTCACAAAGAGTCGATTCTTTTTTTTTGTCTCGTTTCCATGGTCTCGTTCACATCATTTCTCCTTTGTCCCATCTCATCTCTGTCAGGTTTGTTCACTCCGCGAGGCTAAACGTAATGCGAGCGTCGCTTGCGGTTGCGTGCAAATACGTGAGCCTCAGTAAATGAACGCGGATGGATAAATCAAAGCGTTTGCTACACCCACAGTTGGACAGGCGGGGAAGCAGGGCAATAGGTGCGATGTGCTGTGCAGGTGAAGGGTGTGGACGGCCCCACCATGACGTGAAGGTCTTCGCCCGTGGGCCCGGCCGCCTCCATGGTCTCCTGTTTGTCCGCCGAGCGCTTGTACAGCACCTTGGTTCCCGTCACCACGTACTCGCCCGGCCAGTCGATCACCCAGTTCCCGTTGATCACGTAACGACGGTGGCCATTCATCAGCGCTGCAGGCCGACAACTTTGCGTTAGGGGCCAAGCATCCAACGCACGGGATTAGAGAACGCACGCAGGCGAGCGACATCATGTTGGCTGTAAAGGGAAGAAAAAATGCATCTGCTCGGGCAGAGCATGTTGCGACAAAGATTGACGGCTGACGGTAGATATGAGGGAAACGTGCATGACAGCACGTCCGCCATGGACATGGAGAGATAAAATCGGCTCGTGCGCAGGAGCTAGATGGATTTTAATGTATGGCAGGTTCTGCTACAGCACTATCCAGCCATATTAATGTGTTCACAATACTTTATCACAGTACCTAACCATTATCTCCATAAGGTCAACACTGCTCTTAAACTCTTATGTTTTTTTCGGCAAAATCACGTAGGTAAAAATATAAAATAATAAACAGAAAAAATAATGAAAATAATATAAATAATAATAGAAATAAAATAATAAATCACGACGTTTCGGAGTCAACACAAGTCTCCGTCATCAGGTGGGACCGTCACAGATAAATTTACTGTATCAAGTGAACATTATCAATGCAACGCTGGGGTATTTTTACTTTAACAACAGGTTCAGTAAAACAAAAAATCATCACGAAATGGGTCAGTATTTAAATTCAAGACCAGTGATGCAGGAACAATTCAATACTGCACTGTATTCTTTTTTTTCAAATGTAAAATTTTATGCTGACTGTGCTCTCGGAATTACGTCAAGAGATGAAGTATCCGTTGGGATCTCACACAGAGCAGTGCAACCCCATTGTGTTAGACAAGGGCCCACATAAGTGGATATCTCAGAGTTATATCCCAACATATCATTGTCAAACATTAAATGTGGTGGTAAGATCAATGTTGAAATAAAGCTTGCTGGCATTTTTCGATAGTGCGTTTTTCCTGTTTTTCAAAAGGGCCTCCTATTGGGCCTTGACAAGATGATACCAAAGAAATATACCTTAACTTTTAACTTCGCAATTGTTGAAGTGCAAATAACGGTCAATTGAAACACAAGTCCCCTTCTGAAAATACCAAAAAGGAAGGAGCGATGATTAAGCTACCACGAGCACCGGGTCTGGAGGAAAGGTGGCTCAAGGAAGCTCCTCTGGAGCAGCGAGCGTGCCTGGACAACGTCAAGATGACCGAGGTGAAGCAGCAACAGGAAGAGCTGAAACCGTCTGATCGTAAACTTCCAAAATAAGGATTGTTTTCTCTCATCTAATTCTCTGCTATACACACATATAATTAGCCTCCTTTCCGGATTATAAAGCACGTTTTGCCCCTGGATTTTACAGAAACAGTTGTGGGTGAATTCAATAATCCGGAATATATATGATCTATCGGAAACATATTTTAACGTACTTTTACACTCCTTAACATACTTTTACACTACTTTTACACTCCTTTACCAGTGGCAAAATATAGTAATAGGTTTTTACCCTTTAAACTAGTACAAAACTGACACCTTTATACAAGGCATCATGTTTGCAATAACCACAACACAAGCAGTCAAAATGCAAACAAAAATAAACAATTCTGATAAGGGTAATGATATGCACTGTCCTTGAAGTTGATTGGTCCACACCCGAGACAGCGTATACAATGTGTTGCTATAGATATATAGCAACACATTGTACACGCTGAGGACGAGAAGCATAATCTTCCAAAAGACATTGATCCCCACTTTAAGGCAGCGCACTAATAATACTATGATGAAATATGCCTCTCTATCGTACCGTATTCAGTCGTAGGCGGAGGATGACGTCTACATTTGGGGGCAGGGGTTCGCTTTGTCCCTCACATTAAGAACTGTGGGTGCGTATAATTAATTTCTTTATATTCTCTATTGAAAATAAATTAATGAAGGTGTCCAGTTTGGAGGGGGGGGGCATTATTTTTTCCAAAACGCCCCCAAGAGTTTGGGGTGCATCTTATAATCTGGAGAATATCCAGAAATGTCCATCTGTCTGTCTGGCCCAGGGACATGCCAGAACCTTGACAGGAGCGTAGTCATTACAACCAGTAAGACCTGATCAACAGCTACGTAGAAAAAAATATATTCCTGCAATTTGATCTGCGGCCAAGTTTACCAGAGAAAAGGTCACCTTACTGGTGTTCATTGGGAATCATTTTATTTTTATTTTATTAGCAGTGAATGTAAAGTGTGGCCAGCAAAGCAACTTTGTAGGAAGTGTCTCTCTCAGGTGACTGCCAGCCCTAATGACTGCGGTCTGAAATATTGTATCAAGGATATTGATCGGCTCTCATGGTCGTGGAATTATTCCAGTTCTTAAATGGTTATATTGTGAGAATACATTGATTGAAATCCTTTTTTCCAGTACACAAATACTCAAATAGGGGGATATTGTAATAAGCTACTTATAAATATGTTCACTATTGTGGTATAACATGAAGCACAGTGTAAACCCCAAATGTAACCAAGCAAAAATAAAATAATCGCTGGACCGGTGCTTAAAAAGGTAAAAGTGCAGCCCTGCAAGTTCTTGCTCTCTCCACTGCCGGCAAAAAGGGCCTCCAATAGCTAGAGATCTCACCCAACAAAACCCTCTATTATAGATTATATTGGTCGCGAAAGCCTACGTGTTAAACCGGCTAGATGGAGCTGTGGAGAAACCCTCTAAGAGGGATTTTGTATTTGGCCTACTTTCCCACGGTGGCCAGGCGAGTATCCCCCACACTTTACCCCACCAACGTGCAACTTGTATTTATGTTGAACTTCTATCGCACCGTACGTAGCCAACCACACTGCTGGTGTTTGTTATGTGAGCAGTTTCTGGACAGAGATGGTGGTGGGAGGGAGGGTGATTTCATAAAAAAAACTTGTCTGTATCAATTCGCAATCCAGTAAATTCTGGATTGTGAATTGCAAAATCCAGAATTAACTAACCATTACACCATGGCAGCATGCCCTTTAAATACAAATTATGTGAAAATAATTGTTTATTCTTCAGCTTGGATCTCGACCAGAAATAAAAAGGCACCAGCCCAAAACAGCCGGCCGTGAATTTTTCTTACGTAAACACAGGCTGGCTCGGAACCCTGCGAAAATTTCAGGTAGGCCTATATATGGGTAAGTGTGGCTGCGGAGAAATTGTCCACGTTAAACACCCCCCCCTCCCTCCAGACCCTACTTCAGTCATAACACAACCTCTCTGGGGGGGGTGGGGGGGAGGCACAATAAATCCTTTAAAAGGTGTCAGCAGCGACACACTCGGCCAATTCCTAACAAAAATCTTTGATGTTGCTCACAGCTGATCAGCCCGAAACGGAGACCAAAACAACTCAACAAAAGAAACCAGCAGCCAGGGATAACCACCTTTGTTTTTTTAACTTACACAACTTATTCTTAAACTCGTACACTCTTCAATGCCCAAATGTTGTGGTTCCTTTCTTTTTGATGTGAATAATCTCAAGGGTTTTGTTGAAGTCGCCACTACCTACCCACAACCACTCGCATAATTTCTACAAAATATACGCGACAAGGCATCGAGGAATGGAGGGATTCACGTGAACATCTTTAAAACCACAGTAAAACAGTGGACGGTCGCGAACATTCGTCAACGGCAGTAGCGGTCGTCCCAAAACTTGAGAGCGGAGCGTTTAGTAATCCTCAACGGCAAACAAACCGCAGACGGTGATATGGCTCATTTCAGAGGATGATCGCCGCACAGTGAGATTGTTTTGTTTTTCTTTCCTTTATTGCTAACTCATCTTCAAAAAATTAAACAAAGTTTCTCAGGCCAAGCAGGAGAGCCCCCTGACAGTTTAAGTTTTTTTTTCTTAACCCGAGCTTTTATCTGTCACACCGTCGCCACGTTCACTGACCATACGCTCAGCGGCCACGGAGGCGATTGCTAAAGGAAGCACTCTACGCTACAAAACGCAACACCAGGTTCGCACGGCAGCCAGATTATATATCGGCCCACAATCGCACACTTTTTAGAGCACTGGATGCGATGGGATCTGGCCCAGAAAGCAGTAAATAATGATAGTCCAATAAGAGCAAACCAATATTTAGGAGGTTTTTTTTCAAACACATGCCAGAAAAGACGTGTTACAAAAATAAATTGAGTAAAAAAACGAAGAAAATTCATGTTAACTTTGAAAGCAAAGCTATTTCTTGCTCCTTGCTATCTACGCTCACCAGCGACGACTACTTCGCACCGATGCTCAGAGTGCACGAACTTGAAATCTGTACGGTATCTGCAGTGTTCTGACGGCTCAGAAAAAAACGCACAACTCTGAATGTCCAGGAGAATGCCACGCACTCTTCTCTTTGTGAGTTTCTTCATCTCCCACACGTGAGCCTTCCTTTTCAAGCCCAGAACCAGCCCCACCTCCCACTCTACACAAATAAACCCAGGAGTTCTCAAACTCCTTTCGTTCCTTCACACCACGATGCCGGCCAACATTGTTTAAAAAAAAATCATCTCAAAGTGTGCCGTGTGTGACGACGATACCGCAGAGCTGATCTCAAGTCTGACCGTGCACTGGTCGACCATGCGGGGAGGAAAATGCGGCACGAGCCTCAGTCGCTCATTCTCTGCTATCAACGAGCCTCAAGGTTCACTTGCACGAGGCTCCTGGCTCGAATATTTGGCCAATTCCTTGCTGAGTATTGTTACTACGTGCTGGTAGGATGCACAGTAAGGGGAGTCAAACTTAAAAATCATTGAAGTTAAGTAGCCAGACCCACTTTCCCCGCTGCCCTCTGGCCCTCGTCATAGTCCACCCTCCCACTTCCTGCGTATTTCAACGAGCCGAATGAAGCAATGTGCTGCTCGTGTTGTGTGAGAGGCTTCAGGAGCGCGGTCGCCATGGCTCCTGGTGCAAGGAAATAATTGGGGCCCACTGTCCACCTCCCTTCCTCTTAATTTCTGTTTACTCATTTAAACTTGTTTACCCATGAGAGCCTCCCTGAGTCTCAAGACTCCTTTGCACGAAGGTCCTAGCAAATTTTCTTAGTAAGGCGGCGATGTTACTACGTGTAATCCCATTGAGTAATTTACAGATTACTTTTCAGCATTGTGATCATTAGCTAATAACAGTTCCATTACATGTTTATTTGCTTTTAAAACATGAAAGGAAATTATGAGGACCAGGAGGAATCCCATACAAAACAGGGAGATATCATACAGACTCTACGCAGAAAGGAGCCCGAGTCAGGAATCGAACCTAGGCCCTTGTTACTGCCCGGGTGCTTGGGCCCTCACTGGTCCCATGGACCACGGCGCAGTTCCCACCGCCTGCACACGCTCGATAGCTACGGTGTACGGTGCGAAAGAAGTTCAACAAACATACACACGTACATACGCCGCCTCCCAACGGAGCTGCCACTCACCCAGGTAGTTGCGACTGTTGTCGCTCACGCGGATGTGGGTGGCACCGGCCGGGATCGTGGCCACCTCGCTGTAGCCGAAGTGGCCTGCGGGGGAGAAGGGACAAGGGACAAGGGCACAGCGGCAGCGCTGTGACACGCCGCGGGATTTGCCCGAACACGCGCCTTAACAACGCCACAAAATGTGCTCTTCGTTTGGGGCCTACGATTGTGATTAGGCAAAATTCGTGAATGTGAATAAAGTCCCGTGAAATATTGGCAAAGGCAACAAGGAACGTGTGAGATTAGGCACTTCTTTTATTTCCCTGCTAAAAATTCAGTAAGTCGGCTTGGGGGGGAAAGGTGTGGAGGTGGAAAGAAACGACCTCCCTGTCTTATTCTGTGACCTCTCCCCAGTCATGACTTTTAATAAAGTTAACGTGCCAAAATCGTAGGATTTGTTAGTGGTACATCTGGAATGTCGTCCTGGTGCCCTGAGTACGATTCCTGGTCGTGGCTAACACAAGTCGCAAGTTTTATCTAAACCGGTCCTTGGCACCTTCCTTCAGTAACCTGCACACCATGCAACAGCAGGCACTTGTAATTTACGTTGAGGCCTTTATCATTCCACTTCTGAATGAAGGCCTCTCCACACCATGCAGTCATGTTTGTTTTTTTATCACCATGCTGGTCAGTGCAGGTTTATCAAGTTTATTTATTAAAACAAGTTTGGAAATATAAAGACCAGGATATAGTCTAATCTCCAAGAATGACCTGAGCCACGAAAATGACAAAAGCAAAAAAAAACTAATAAAATAAAATACAGCAGTGAAGCATACAGGAATCAGAGCAAAAACAACCGTGTCGCATAGAATAATATTGGGTTGGTGAAGGCCGTTGCATCAGTCACAGCAGTTGTTTAACCATACTTCACCCGCCGGTTAGTCGGTTGAAGGGGAAGACCCAGAACCGTTTCAGATATGACTCGCCATTGATGTTTGCATCAGGCGGGAATCGTACTCGGGTGGACAGATGCGTAGCACGTTATGCTCGAGGCACCGTGTCACTGCTCCACAGCGGCTGATGGTCATAATTAATTAACCGTGGGAAATACCACATTTCGCAAAGGTGGTTTTTCAGTATCTGTTGAGAGCATCAGTCTCATCCTTTGGTCCATCACCACTTTTGGATACGGTCGAGTTTGACTTCACTCACACGCAGGGGATTAAACAAAAATATATAAAATAAAAAATTGATGCGGTACATCGCATAATTGTTTTCTTTTTCAGATAACAGCACCGTCTGGAAGGTGCGTGCAAACAGGGTATATCTGATACACGTGGAATAACACGATTGATATCTGTACCTCGTTTGAGGTCACTGGTCACGAGTTTTGCACAGCTAATCGCTAAATTCTGTGCAAATGAACGAACGAACACGGTGGAGAAATTCGCTGTGGGCCACCTTCTGACTTTAGAGGACAGAAGATGAAGCCCACAGCGTTGCGTTAGGCACATGGGAACAAAGAGAGGTTACGCGGCCGTGTCTAGGTTTCCTTTGATGCGTGTAAGACTGTACGGATTTTTCAACATTAAAACGAAAAAAAAATTGCTATGGTTTGGCACAGGGCGCAACTTTTGAAGCTAAGTACAACGTGAGAAAAACAATTTTGTGAGCGCTAAGCTTTTATGTTGGCGATAGAAGATTGTTCTCCAGTTTTGCCTCTTTTCATCTTGTTAAATTAAGTGCCACTCCAGATGGCCCAGAATAATTGTGTCCCAGTCACAGGCTGCATAGCGACGGGGGAAAAAAATCTAGATGCTTAAGTTATTACAATTGGATTACACCTGAGTTTGATTCTTGACCATGGCTCATTTTCATCACCAGTGAGCGATATTTGATAGCAGTTCTGAGACCCGCCTTTACCAACTCACACTGACCAGCGTGGTTAAAAATTATTCAACAACTGCCTTGAACAATATCGGTTGATTTATCACTCTCCACTGACATTTTCTGCGACCAGAAATTGAACTTGGGGCTTCAGGGTGCCACGGTGGTGAGATGTTAACTACCTTGTTGTGGGTTCAATATTCTGAGTTTGCATGTTCTCCCTGTGGTCGCGTGGATTTTTCTCCGGTTCCTCCGGTTTTTCCCTCCACATTTAGGATCATGCGTTTAGAGCATTTGGCTGCTATAATTTTCCACGTGATAAGCTACTTTGTTGAGCTACCATTTGTGGCCAAGTTGCTTCTGAACAAGAGCTATATTGACCAGTGGACCTTACCTGGTAAAATAAAAATAGTTTATATTTTTTTAATATTTTTATTATATATATGTTCGTACTGCAGTGCGCAAACCACTGCGCTACCGCTCCGCCCCCATAGGCATAGTCGTTGTGGCATCGTGAGACAAGAATTTGGGACAACGAGTGCACGCGTGGGTCGCTCACACGCCGTTCAGCCATCACTGCACGTCCACTGCTCTCTCCTCCTGCGTTTCCCTGTCAAGACCCTGAACCACACCCCATGCACCACCACCCCTCCCGGGACCCACCACCCTCCGCACTTCTCACCTTCACGTAGTTTATCTGTGAAAAGTTTTGAGATGCAGTTGCATTTAGACACCATATATATCTGTAAACAATATGGACGTTTGTTGTTGTTGTTGTCAATGTCTGCGCAGTCACCGGTAGAGGGGTGCGACGACATGAAGATGCTCCGGAAGTGCTGGCAGGTATCGTTGTGGCCGCCGCACACGCGGCAGGCATCCTCCTTGGCTCCCGATCCCAGGATGAGGTCACAACCCGCAGCCTGCGCACCGCAAGGCGAACACGCATCCACCGTTGTTGTCGCATTAGAGAGGGCGAGCGCTTGTTAGCAAAGCGTCTATTGAGAAGAGGTCACGTACAATTAGACAAATACGTTGCATGACGATTCGTTAACATCGCTTATGACTCGGCACACCCGCGTGGATTTTTGACGTTGCTAGTAATAACAACATTAATTGATGCTATGTCAATCCACTAGCTGGGTGACGGCCTACCCGTGCCGCAACAAACTGTATGGTTGGCTACGTGCAGTGCGAAAAAAGTTCAACATTCATACATACATCAGTCAGGGAAGTTGTTTTAACTCTACCTCGCCATGCTGGTCAGGATGGTTTGGTGAAGGAGGTTGGGAGGGGGCAGTCCCAGCTCCGGTTGCGGATTTCACTCGCCAATTGCGTTAGCCGTGGCCCGAAATAAAACTCAGGCCACCGGGTTCGTAGTGCGCTAACAACTGTGCCACCGCTCCCCTCGGTCTTAAAAGTATATCCTTCTCAATCCACAGCCTCTGATCGGTGCTATGTACAGGTGGGGATGGAGGCTGACATTTATGGCCAGGATCACCTACTGTTCACAAAGTATTTTAGTGAAATAACGTTAACTGGTTAAGGTGCTCCCACGAAATATGAATATTGTTGACTAAGACGCGGTTTTTGGATAGAGGGCCGTGCAAAAAAAGCGCATCGAACAAGTTTGTTTGGACCTGTCAAGTTATGTGAACAAGTGTTGCCTTGGGAGGCGCATAAACATATCAGGATCACACCGCCCCACCCCCAATAACTTGCTGCACCCCAAGTTGTTGGCATTGGAAAGGGAGTTAAGTGCACGAGGCATGAGAGGATAAACACGGGGTGGCAGCGGGCGAGGGAATCAGTGCCACGAATGTGAATGCCCCCGAGCTGCAGCGCTGGAACGGTTCCCGATTGTGCAAGCTCATGGGGGGGGGGGTGGGGGTGGCTTTATGACGTGACACCAAACACGCGTCCACGTAAACACGCAGTCGGTGCCAAGACAAGGTTACTGAAACCCGCGCGGGGAGCGGTGTCGTCTCAACCGGAGCAATGCTAAAAGCCGCAAACGGCAGTCTGCAGACCACTTCCGCCCTGCGATGCCACGCGCCGGGGAAGTGCACGGCGCGCACGTGCACGTGCACTCGCGCGCGAGCCGCGGATGCACGGACCGCTCGTGCTCGGCGGCGACAAATCGAACGCGCGGATTTGACACGACGCGCGGAGGCCACGCACGCGCGCCTGGGCGCTCGTGCGAACACGAGGCCGCTGGGCTGCGGCGTGCCCTCGAGTGCGACGATGATGACGATGCTGATGACAACAAGCATCCACCACTCCGCCGTTTCCTCCTTGCGCGCATCGCAACCCGTCGACTCGCTTCTCCCTCGCAGGAACGCTGTCGATTTTGAGACATTTAAAAAAAAATCCCCCATTTACAGCATCGGCGTGACACTGAAGCCCTCCGGGGAGCAGAGGACTCTTGACGCCACACCCCGTAAAGGCACGCGGTCCTCTCTGTCAGTGCTGGAAAGTTTGTTGTCGAATGCCAGATTTCGCATTGGTTTGTGGCCTGCAACCCGCATCCCTGCTGGGAATAAAACCGCGAGCATGCTGTGCCATGGCCTAATTGCCTTCTGACGCGGAACACGTGTTACAGATTTACTGGACAGTGCGCACGTCTATGGGACACTTGTTTTCAATGCGGATGATGGGTAAATATACACGAGTTCATGGGAATCAATTCACGGCTGAATTATTTGCATCGACATGTGCATAGAAAGTTGCTTTTACTAGGTGTGTAGTGGTAAATCGAATCGCTGAATTAGTCTGAAAATTCACGATACATGCGTCCAATCACACGTGTACAAGTCGATTTTTGAATGCAAATGACAAGTTCATCACTTGGGCTAATGGAGCAAACCAAACTGGACGAATGAGCCAGGAAAAGAAAAACAATACAAATGAGGTGGTAAAAAAACAAGATAAATTATTATTATTGAACCAATTCGTGACACTGCCTTGCGACAGCTCTTCCCAAGTACAGCTTGCGTCTGTGGTTGGTCTAGATTTACGTTTTCTGTTATCTTATTCCCCTAATTTGCATGTAATTTGCATAAAAAGCAAATAATCGACTCTCCCATGCATAATTCAATGTACACTGGATCTCTGCCATCTGGTGTCTGCATCTTTCTCTCATCAACAGGGTGACATCAATGCTAATTATGCTCATGATAGAACCTTGCATACACAAGAGTGCACAAACAGTCGGCTCAGTACTGAGTCTGTGGCCACTAGTTGTGTAGATTTAATATTGTGTTGTACCAGTTTAAAAGGTAAAAACCTATTACTATATTTTGCCACTGGTAAAGGAGGTCTCATAGTGTAAATGCTTACCCCGGAGCTCTCAATACTCTGATAGTGCGCTGTTTTTGAGTTGTACGCCTTTTGGCGTCATCTGGTCCAACACCAATGGAGACTAGGCTCTAAGGAAAGCTGTCTCGGGTGTGGACCAATCAACTTCAAGGACAGTGCATATCATTACCATTATCAGAATTGTTTCTTTTTGTTTGCATTTTGACTGCTTGTGTTGTGGTTATTGCAAACATGATGCCTTGTATAAAGGTGTCAGTTTTGTACCAGTTTAAAGGGTAAAAACCTACTACTAGATTTAATATTATTATCATGTAGAACTGTTCTCTTATCCGTGACCAAGTGGGGGTCCAACTTCACAATGTACTCAATGGCCACCGGGAACCATTCGCTATTCAGGCATCCCCAACCTCCACAGCACTCCTATCGGTTTTTGTATTCTTTGTTGTTGCAACTTTCTGACCCGCCCGTACTGGACATCTGTGAAAAAGAGCTTCATGGCTCATTTGATTCCTCCTCCGGTCTAAATAAATATCCTGATTCTGATTTCGACTTTGGCCTCGCGATAGCGCAAAGTGTTGAAAAAGCTTGACACAGCTGGGATTTTCTGGACCAGGGGTGAGAGTCATGTGTGTCCGATGTAATAATAAAAAAAAAATCAAATCTGTCAACCGAATCTGATGTGGAGGCGGCAAAAAGAAACACACACAGAGCCCATGAGCTCTGTCCTACGTCTGTCGAGTTCCGAGCTGAACCCAAATGACAGGCAAGCACAGAAGTAGTCTTACGGTTATACTTGTGAGCAACATCAAAGGCTCCATTCCTGTACGTTAGCGCTTCCACAAGAAATGTACTGACGCAAAATAAACCGCTATTAAAATTGCAAATACACATTCTATGCACACCATGTTGGAGAGGCAAGAACTTCAGAGGAAGAGATCCTGAGTTAGAACCCACGTTCGACTCAAGTAAGCACCTCCCTCGTGGGTCATTAACAGTGGTTATTCTACGGAGATACTGGTCCTTGCCACACCAATGTGGAATTCCTGCTGCCGGGTCAAAATTGTCAATACAGAAATTCACCACCCAATGTAGAGACAGTTTGACTTCATACACAGGACTGTATGAAACTCCCTTCCCCCAGCCATGCATTGTCAACTCCTTGCCGCCGTTCACATAAATTAAAATCGTGTTGTATTGTACATAATCCTACCTGTGCACAGCTTAGAAGTATTATGGCAAGAGGCAGCTGCGCTCACACCTGTCGCACCACGGTGGCGAGATGTTAACTACCTCGCCTGGTGTACAGGAGGTAGTAGGTTCGATCCCGATCCCGACCTTGACACCTATATATTTGTAGTTTGCATGTTCTCCCAGGGGTCGCATGGATTTTTCTTCAGGTTTTTCCCTAATATTTATAAACATGCATTTTAGAGTATTTGGCTATGCTAAACGTCCATATGATAAGCCACTTCGTTAAGCTATCACTTGTGGCCAGGTCGCCTCTCCAAAAAAAGCAAAATAGCTAAGTGGGCCTTACCTGGTAAAGTAAAAAATAGCTATAGTTAGTTATAGTTATAGTCAAATCCAGATTAGTTATAGTTATTAATTGTCCCTTGCTGCATGAATGCCTCCCCCCACACCATGCCAATTATGGGGGATTATTCGGCCATTCTTCACCACGATGGTGAGCGTGGGTTGGTTTTGGAAGGAGGGCTCGGATCGGTTCATATATCACTCGCAACGTGGCCAGGAATCGAACTTGAGCGGTCAGGTTCACGACGCAGCACGCTAACCACCGCGACACTGCAGCACGCCTTTCCTAATGCATTTACAACCTGAGCCGCCGCATGAACTTGCAGAGATGCGTGCACCACCACTACCACGACCACCACGAGAGGACTCACCAGGCACTGACCATTGACGCAAAGTTGGCCCAAGTCCATGCCACAGCGAGTCCCATCGAGCACCCGGCCAAAGTTGTAATAGAAGTTCTGTCCCGTGGCGAGGCAGTTCAGCTCGCACTGGTTTATAGCTGCAAAGGGGGCAAGACAACATTGTTGTTCGTGAAATGAACGGTCAGTGTTGGCTCTTTTACGTATTTTTTATTGTATGTGCTCTTTGCAGAGCTTTGTCAATCCCCTGCTGGATTAAGTTCTCCCCAGGCCACGTCGGTCATGGGGGTTGGACCGACAATTCTTCAGGGACCAGTTCAAATATCGCTCACCGCTGATGTAAGCCGTGGTCAGGAATTGAACACAGATTGCCAAGCTGCACCATTTATAAAATAGAATCAAAATAGAATCAAAAACACATGCCTGTAAACCGCATGCATTGGAATGGCCTTGTTGTCTAATGTCTGCCCATTGCTACGTAGCATATGTACTTGTAAGTTCGTTGAATGACTTTTTGAAATTTGTAATGGAACATTAAATGTATTACATAGCTTTAAGCTGAATGCAGATTCTAAGCTTCTGAACAAAGAGCCAATGTCCTGTGTTTTGGCAGGGGCAATTCTGCATGAATACCAGGGGCAAGCACCGTGAAATGTAGTGGCATATTTAACAAGTGGAAATACGTAATGCTCTCAGCTTCTACAAAGAATGCTTCATGGAGTAGAGATGGAGATTCAAAATCATAGACCTTGGATTAATTATGAAATGAGCTCCACTTTTGAGACTACATTGACACCCACACGTCTAAATATTCATCAAATTCTCAGAAGGATCCCCTGTATACCCTTTAGCAGGCTATTGGGGCAAGTATTATTTGCGAGTGTCTATTAAGGCCGGTTCGACATAGGAGGGGGTGGCAAGCGCCACCCCGTGCTAGCTTTGATTTCCCAGTGCTGGTTTACCTACCACACCAAGTATTCAGTGAAAGCTGAGTCGATCTAAGGGATGCCCAGGACTAGTTTTTCTCGCTATCCACACTGATGTTGGCTGTGGCTGAAAATTGAATCCGGGTCACCCAGTACAGAAACCACTGCATTACTGTGCCCCAAAAAACTCGCTAACAGAGCTTGGCCGAACAATATAGGCTCTACGGGAGACCTTTGTCCTTGACCAAATTCTTAGAAAATACACGCGCACATGATCCATCATTCGACAAGGAAATACATTTTGTACATATGTAATTTGCGCCATTCTAATATCACAAAGCTGCCATGGTCGCAAAGTTCCGCAAATGGGTATAGACAGCAAGTAGGGGTGAAATGTAAAAATGTGGTTTTAACCAATTTAATAAATATGCGGGTAATTTTTCAACATTTTCCAAATTTGCACCAGGACAGCGGCTCACACACACATGTCTCAATCCTTCTCGAATGATGTCACGGGATCTATAACGTCCGCCATTAAGCGTGTGGTGTGTAGTTTCGTTTCATGCGACCATGGCATGAAGCATGACGGTCGCCATGCTCGTATCGCAAAGCACTGCCACGGTCAGCAAATGGCGCGAGCGCTCGGCCACATCGCCACCCGGCAACAGTTTACCTCCGTGAAAGGGAGTCCACTGAAATATTCCTCCGTGTCCCCGGATTGGGCGGTCGTTGTATAAGGTGCACTGCATTTCCCTGAAATCTACCGAGCCTTGAGGACATTCCTGAAAAAAAGTGATTTTTTTTTCCTATCGTTACCTTGCTCAACTAGTATAGGCATATATATGGAAATATATACAAGCGACACTCCGGTGTGGGTTTCCAGGTCGTACAAAAGTTTTGACTGGATTGAAACGTTGGACATCGTGTAGAACAACACACAGAACGACCAGAAAACACATCGGACAGCTCTACAGCAGGACCGCGAAAACCTACGCAGTTATACAGAGCCTAGTTTAAAATCATTCGATTTGAAGTGAATAACTCACCTGCTGTTTCCATGAATAACTTTAGAATGCCCATTATATTTTTTCCCCAGAATCGAAATTAAAGAAAATTGGAAAATGCTTCCAGGTCACGTGTAATTGAATATTTTCTTTAAAATATATATATCTACAAACCATGGAAACAGCAGCAGGTGACATAATGAATTCTTCACTCAAAATAACATAATTTTTACCTGAATGGGACTCTTGCTGAGGCAATCGCGTGATAAATCATTGTTCAGGTGCCACAACTAAGTTGATCACCCTGCTGGGAATGAAGCCAATGTAAAGCCACCTCCGGCCAATGCCATTACGATTAAACATTCCAGCCGAAAATGCTTTCCGCGGCGCGCCACACTGTTGCACACGGGGCAGCCTCCCAGTGGGCCCTCTCCACCCCCCTCCACCACCCCGTGCCTAAGTCCTCACCACTGGGGGAAATTGCACCCTCTGGGCCAGTGGCAGTTAGAGCCATGATGCCAGAGGCTCGGCCCCTGCGATGACTTTTGCAATTATTTCACGCACTTTGGTTTTAGTGGCATTATATTTTTTTGGGCGGTGATGAAGGAGAAATATTTGTGTTTCTTCCTACATTCAAACTCCACTTAAACGCCCTTCCATTACCTGCCCTTCCTGTTATCTGCCACCCTGAATTGATACATGACAAATTCTATCACCCTTACATGAATTATTCCTTATTGTCCACATGTTATTTCGTGGACAAGAGTCTTCACTTCTTCGTTTGGCTGATGTTGACGCTGGCCCAGATAATCCAAAAGGCATCACTCCATTCTCCACACTTTTCCAGGGAGAGAGGAGGGGTCACCGTATTATCCATTGCTTATCTGCAGGTAACAAACCACTGGCCGTGATCTCCTGGAAGCACCAAATGCATTCCATTATCCGAGCATTAGCTGCTGAAAGCCGCAAAGATAAGAGGAGGAATATCTGTGGAATAATGCTAATAATGTGTAACACGTAGGCTTTTGCGTCCAATATTATCCATATTAGAGGGTTTTTTTGGGTTAGATTGCGTAAATATAAATGTTGTGTCGTTAAACTGGCCACCACGGGTCCACCACAGGGCGAGTTTAACAACATATTTATATATTTATATTGAGAATAGGTTTTCACATTTTTTCTGGTAACAAAATTGGTGTGGACCAATCAGTTTCAAAGAAAATGCATATATTATCAGAGTATGTTTTTTGTTTGCATTCTGACCCCAAGTATTGTGGTTAATGCAGACATGATTCCTTGTAAAAGGTTTCAGTTTGGTGTTTTAACATCTTAACACAACTGTTTTGTTGCCAGAAAAAGGGGAAACCCTATTCTCATATTTTGGTGCTGGCAAAGGAGGTCCCATGATATTTATATTTACACGATCTAACCCAAAAAACCTCTATTATGGACAATGCGAATTATACGATCCATCAAAAGCTTCACCTCCATCACTGCAGTTCATGTGTTTGCTTCTTTATGTATGTATGTTTAACTTATTCACATCGTACGTAGTCAACCGTGCTAAATTCAATATAAAATAATTAGTACCGTACCACCACCATGTTGCAGGCCTGGTACTGGCGCTCGTCCCCCTGACAGGGTTCTGTGTCCGGAAATCTGCGTGGGTTGAAACAAATAGTAATCAAAGCATTGGCAACAGATGATCGGCAAACGCACGTTCACAATCACCACCAGGTCATGTAGACTGTGGAAGCGTTAAGACGGTGACTGCATTCTCAAACAGGCTCTTGGTGGGAATTTTGGAAGAAAAAAAGTCACTGCTAGAAAAGTATAAATTAAATATTGAACCTTTCAAAGCTCTATAATTTACCATTAGACATGCGAATTTAGTACGAAATGTCATCGTTGCTTTGCATTCCAGTTGCTGCATATAAACAAATATGAACATAACTCTGAGGGCCTGGACCTTGCAGAAGTTACTAATGCCTGTTGTTGCTGTCTTGTGATCCAAAGGTAAACATAGTTCAGCACGAACATTGCTCCTTCGATGACTTTAAAGCACCATTAAATCCTCGCAACCGCTTTTGCTAATCAGTTCTGCCAAAAAAAACAGTAAACTGCAAATAGTTCTTATTCGGTATTTAGCTAAATGTCACTCGTGACTTATAAAGTTCTTACAAATAATATTTTTTAAAATATGAATGTAAAATGAATAAACAGGCTACATGCATGAAGGCTACATGTAGTTCACAACTAATGGCATAGTTTATGATGATTTAACATAGAACTTAAATATATTCCAAAATGTTTAACCAACACTAGAGGCACAGAGCAAACATTTGCATTTCTTAGAACTTAATACAACAGGAGTGGACTGTCACTTTTGGGGAAGCAAGTAAAAAACAATTATCCATGCCGATACCTGATATCACTTAAGGTGTTGTTTCTTAGTACAACCTCTGGATTATACTGGTAGGAACGAAGTGGACCAGACCACCAATAGATTATATCGTCCGTCCGTCCGTCCGTCCGTGGGAGGGGTGGTGTTGAGGGTGGTGTTGGAAATGAAAGACTACGAGTCTTTAAATCTCACAGCGTTTCTTGTCAAAACAAACACTTTTAATTAACGTTACACTAGAATACAGTAATTTTTTCTTTAACTCCTCTATACCCGGTCGATATCTCTGTACCGGTACTAAGTATTATACCTACCAGCCCACCCCGCAGGGTCCTGTTGTAAGTGCAAATAATTGCGTGTGTAAATTGCTCACTCTGTGCATATCTGTCAAATGGATTGTGCGAGCTCGATAACGCAACGTTCGTGCTTTTCTCGCTACATCAACACTCAGTGGTGGTTGTGTGCAGTGATAATTGGATAGGCTGCGAGTGGTCATCTGATAGCTACAACTTAAAAACCTGGATTTTAATTTCAGGTGGTGACCCCTCATTTTTATTCAGAATCTCAGCAGCAGGTGCCTCAACACAGACTTTAAACCCCACAAGACACCTGGCTATGACATGTCTGTGGTCTTAACCCTCTCATGCATCATCATGTCCACTGTGGTGGACTGCTATGTTTTATGAGCCTGCTATGAAATTATATTTTATAAAATCGTCAATGCATTTGGGAGAAGTTCCTTCAACTCCAAAAATCACATTAGCTCAAGAAAACATTTATTTTTGCTATTCATAATTAATGAATGAGTGGGTTTAGGATGATGATGACAACATGATGTTGATGAGTATGGCTAACTTGATATAACTACTGCCTGTGCTCCGTTTCTGGTCATCCATCGCCCCTTACTTTGTCCTCATGATACAAACATGTCCATAAAATGATAGCAACATAGTGTACAACAACACAGGGTACTATAACATAGGATTATTATGGATAGGCATATCGTGTATCCGGTACTCTAGTGGTAGTGCCTTACCCCAATGTATGCATGTATGTTGAACTTCTTTCGCACTGTACGTAGCCAACCCTAACTCCAAGCCAGCCGAGTGAAAAATTGACGACGACGCTGCTGCCGATGGCGAGTCTGACATGACTATGGCGCGGGTGGGCGGGGGGCGCGAGCGAGTGTACCGCACCTGGAGGCACACCGCCTGCTCCGGAGGGTGACGCCGCCGCCGCAGGAGAGGGAGCACGGGCTCCAGGCTGACCAGGGCCCCCACTCGCCCACGGAGAGCGCCTGCCGCTTCGGCCGCGACAGCAGCGCCGCCGGCCTGCTGCCAGCCTGCCCGACACAAACGGTGGACGCCACGGAGGCGAGACGTCAATTACCTCACCTGGTATCGATCTCGAGCCTGACGCCTGCTGTACGTGAAGTGTGCATGTTCTTCCCGTGGTCGTGTGGATTTTTCTACGGGTCCTCCGGTTTCTTCCCCTCCACATTTAGAGTCAATGTGCGTTTAGAGCATTTGGCTGCTGTAAATGTTCACCTGCTAAGCCACTTAAGCGTCGAGCTATCATTTGTGGCCAGGTCGCTTCTGAAACAAACGCTGTATAACTAAGTGGGCCTTACCTGGTAAAATAAAAAAAATAGTTATAGTTTTTAAAATGCCACCACCACTCGCAGGAATCACCACCACTACGACTGAACTTATTGAAGGGCTATTTCAGCTGTTCTCAACCAGCGGGGAGGGGTGGTGGGAATGTGGGAGTAGCACAGGCTGCGGCATGGATACCGTGCAGGAGAAATGTTGAATGTGCGCGGGGAACGTCAGTGCGACAAACCATTGATACACAACATACAATCGATGCCTTATTAACACCGCCTTGACTAGCGGTGTGGACATGTGCCCTCTCTGTGTATTGTAGGCCTTAATAACCTTGCGGATTACTAAGGTCTTGATTCATTTTGAAACATAATCCGTGTCACACACAAGGCTATTGTGAACAATATATCACATAAATAGTGCCCGGGGCCAGTAAGTCATATATAGCCGAATAATTAGGGCAAAGGTAAAATTTTGTTCAATAACAAGTGGATGGAAAAATCACGAAACATATTTCTTACGCAAAAATACACTTACGATGTGTTTACATTGGAACGATTTAGTAAATTCAAGCTGATGTTGTAATTTAAATGTTATGTATTGTATTTGGGTTCTAATCTTCTCCGGCCTATAAGCCTTGGACTTGAACGTTGTCCTGAGCACCGGTTCCTGGCAGCTGATTTATCTTCCCGTCGAGTGAGATACGGAACCAGACTGAGCCAAGCAAACTGCACATACCTTGAGGGAAGACGGCACTCATAAATCACCCGCAACAAACTCGATGGTACGCCCTCGCCTTGTAGACATCTCATACGAGAGAGGTCACATTTTTTCCCCCTCTCTATAATTTACTTATCAAAAGTATATTTCTAGGAAAAAATCTAATTGATCTGAAATAGCATTGCTTCCGTTACAAAATCCTATGGATGTGTGCAGACAGCCGTTACAATTCCAGTCGTTTGATCATTTCCCCGGCAAGAAGCCAATGAGATATTGAGTCTTTTTTTTCTTCACAAGGAAGCCTTGAGTATTATAAGTTAAATAAAGAGAAGAGGGGATGGAGAAAAACCCCTCAAATAATCATGGACAATTAGTACAAAAGTCAGTCAATATGATGGCACGAAAAAAAGGGCCTTGCTTTACATTTGTGGAAGCTGACCAACATGTTTTTATTTAAGCAACACATTACATCAAAATAACTCAAACGCAGTCAATTAAAGTTCCGTATAACATTTAAAAGTTTTAGTTCAATACAATATGTTTGTAGTCGAATGTGCAAACACGCCACAGCTGTTCGTGTGCAATCCTTTGGGAGGATGCACTGACACCAAATCATCTGTCTCTGATGATGAACCTACAACTGGCATCATTTCTGCTGTGTTCATCTCAGAAAGCACCTCTGTTGGGGGGGTTCCTGTGCTCATCTAATTAAGTGTCCTGCAGAACCACAGAGACAAAGATCCCCCGTATAGCTTACAGAGGCTGTTGGGGCAAGTGCTGTTGTGAGCACCTATTGCACTGCGCCACGAACCGGGAGACCTTCAATCAGTTCCCACTCATGGCCAACACCGCCAGCGAATATCTGAACCGGTCTCCTCAACCTTTAATGAGTATCTAGAGTGGCGTGGAAACATTAGCACCGGGGAGACAAAGGCGGCCAGGTATAGCTCAGGCCACAACAACTCCCTCATGTGGTGCATTCATAAGTGGAGATTTCTGGACCCATGCGATGAAGAGCTTCATAGCTCATCGGGTTCTCCCAGCTGAAATCAAATGTCATTGCCTTTTGAGCTATGCATGCACGGAGACCCTGCAAACCCTGCCACTGAACCAGAGGCGGAGTTTAACGTCTATATTGGGGGTGGCATGGGTTTGCTTTGTCCCTCACATTCGGAATCGCGGGTGAATATAATGACTTTAGTTTTAATCTTAATTGTAAACGACAGAAAATAAATGTATAAAAGTGTTCAGCTTGCCTGGGGTGTTGCCCCCACGTGCACCCCCCCCCCCCCTCCCACAACTCTGCCCATGCACTGAACCCAGGGAAAGAAAACAATGTTGGATGCCAACCGCACAAGTCAATCATCCGCTCGAGGCTCGGCTGCGGAGTTACCTCTATGCGCAGCGCAGCGCTCCGCGTGCCGAATGGCGATTCGAGCCACTGACGCCGCGGAGGAATATGACAATCTCGTCATCGCCGCAAACACGGCAAACCACAAAAGCGGTTTTAATGACGGCTCCAATTTCCTCCTCCTCCGCCCCTCGTCATCCAGAGGGGGGGAAATGATGCTGAGGGACTGCAGCCACCTGTCACCGTGTTGCCAATTGACCGGAATTAAGAGATGAAAACACGTTGCGATTTACGAGTCACGCTGTGCAGAGAACGACGATAATTCAAATGCGAGATGAGGGCGGGTGTCACGCATTAACTGAGGTAACGAGTGAAATGTACCGGTTGTGTCAGGTATCTTGTTGCTCCTGTATTTAACCCAATGTGCACGGCACATCGGCTCCTCGTTTGAAATGCAAAAAAACTGCATTCAGTGCAATCCTTATTCTGTAGTTCAAAATAATCTGTTTTAAAGGGCTGTTTTACCACTTTTATTTTGCCATTTTCTTTCTTTTGCAATCACATTTATTGTGGTCATATACGTTGCCTTTAGTAGCAATTCACCAATAAATTGCAAAAATAAGCTTTAAAATACAATAAAGTGCAATGTCAAATATTTAGTTAAAACATTCATTGGCTGTAAAATAGCTCATTTGAACTACACATGTGAACTTTGATCTTGTGACTGATGCAAACATCAATTGATTCAATTGCTCTTCGCTGCATACATTTGTACGCGTTAAATAAAACTGGGTTTATGTTAGAATTGCCCTCGTGGGAGTGGTTTGATAACAGCGACCACTTTCCTTGTTCCTCCTGAGCATCATTCCCAAGATCTAAGCACCCATTCATCAGCAAGCGCGCACACGATACTGCGGAAGCACAATCTTACAACATGAGCTTTGCAAACACGATATCACGTGTGATGGGAAATCAGTTTTCCGTGACTTGCTGTTGACTACAACATTTTAAAATATCTCGCCATCCACAGGCCAGGGCATGAGCTCAGGCAGCTTGGTGGGGAATTTAGGACATCCAAAACATTAAAAAGACGCACAGTCCTGGCATACAAGTCAGAAGATCCCTGGTAGAAGTTCAGGGAGCTCACGAACAGGCAGCCTTGAGAGGGAGGTTGAAACCCCCTGTGGGGAGGTCAGGAGGTCATGGAATTGCCAGTGCAGAGGTCAGAAACACCAGGCAGAATGGTAGAGAGAAGAGGGGGAGGAGGATGTGAGACCAGGAGAGAGGAAGTAAGATCCTTGAGATTTTTTTTTAAATGCACAATAAGGAAATAGGGCGATATAGGCCAGGTTGGAAATCGTGGACTGGGATGTCAAGATACCTGAAAAAGTGGTAAAAAATACGAAGGGGAAGTCAAAATTCCCAGGTACAAAGATGGGAGGCCAGGAAATGACTTTTGAAAGCCCAGGCGGAATGTTGAAATGCCCCGATGGAAAGGTTTGAGAGATTCGAAGAGGAGGTCTGGAGTACAGGGGTGGGCATTTGGGAGGCCTGGCACAAAGTGTGGGAGGCTCAGTGCAGCTGGGAGGTCCGAGGGGTAGAGGTCACGGCTCACACCCAAAACTCCCAGGATCAGCAAAATCCAGAGAACGCTCTTGATTTTGTCAACTCAGACAGCTGCCCACCCTGCCTGCAATACCAAAGTCAGGTGTGCATGTCCGAACGTAAGAGGCTAAATACAGCGATGTTTAATTATAGATAGACATGGCCAACACATGGACATCCCAGGTCCCCTGAGCACAATTTAATCAGGGGGAACAAAAGGGGTGGTTTTAACGGATACGTGATCAAATATGGGATCTACATTAAACGTGCAAAGAAAGCGACCGATCGACATTTGCCTTTCCCTGCAAGGCTCCCGGGCATCTCTGGGACCCCTTCGATGCTGTGTTTGTCTCGGACCATGGGGTACATACACCAGTTGCACCTGATGGGTGATTTGTCCGTTCGTTGGTGACAGCACGCAAGGAACGTGTATAATCATGATAAAGTACGATTGCATAAGTTTTCGCGGCCGTGCCGGGCGCCTCTCCGCTGTGACTTTATATTGCGCCGGCGCGGTGTCCGACGTTTCGCTGCCACGCTTTTTGGAGTTAAAACGTTGAACGTCATGCCAACAAAAACACGCGGTACAAGCCAAACGCACGCACGCACGTCGAGAGTGCGCGGCGGGTTGCTCGCGTCGCGCACGCACCTCAGCGAAAAACTGCCGCCGGCAAGATACCGCGCTTTCTCGCTCACAGTCGACTACCGGCGAATGCAAGCGAAGCGCGCGCGCAACGTTGGAACGAATGACGGCCAAATGGGCTAACAGAAATGTCACGCGAGCATCACTTTATACCTGCAGCCAACTCGGCGCGGAGCAACCTAACACCACGTCCCCAAACGTTCCCGAACACCGTTGTGCAACAGGTAATGGCTGTTGATCGCCGATTGAGATTGACACGTGGGAGTCGGTGCGTCTCTCTTGAACCCCTGACACGGGAATGTGCAGGTAGCTGCCGCCGCCGCCCCGGTGCCCGCGCCGTCAACGCCGACGTTTGTTATTTAATAACGCGTTGCTCGCGCCCCCCATTTATCTCTCTCGCAAAGAACTCCTTATGTTAGCGATTGCGATCGATAAGCAGAAGGCCGTTTTTTGAGCACCGCGTGCCATAGGCTGCATTTCACAAAACACGGGCTGTGATATGTCACATGTAGATGTACTGCGGTCCTGTACAAAAGACAAACATCCCCCATATAGCCTTAACAGACTTTTGGGGCAAGTGTTGCTAGTGAGTGCCTATGCAGGCCGGAACATCACACAGGGGATTGGGTGGCCAGCACCACGCCCGCTCACCTTTGTCTCCCCAGTGGCGACGTTTTCACATTGCACCAGGCACTCATTTGAGGCTGAGTCGACATTGGGGTTCAGATAATCGTCACTGGTGTTAGCCGTGCACGGGAATCGAACTCGGGTCGCCAGGTTCCTAGTGCAGCGCGCTAACCACTACACTACTGCTCCCCACATACAAAGACAAATATCCCCCGTATAGCCTTAACAGACCGTGGATGACTTACTTTATCCAAAGACACGTAACGATGAAGATTCGCGCAATTTCTAGAGCGGCAGGCTCCCGCGTGCAAGCGCTGCACTCGAGTGCAAGTCCCAAGTGTGGGGTCGACTATTGGCCGGAATAACAGAAACTCTGGGCTACGAATACGATGAAGGTAGACAGGAGTGGGCCCCATTGCACTCGTTGCACCAGAGCCCATGCCAACCACACTAAGCCCAGGGTTTAATGTCAGCCAAAACTGCCTGAGGCTGGGCTCCTGAAAATATTATTTGCCGAGCCCACTCCCCCACCACCCCGTGACTGCGGGGTGGGTGGGGGAACCCGAGAGATCGGGGGACTCCCAGAAAATATATTCCATGAGAATGTCAGCCCTGGCTATGGCACTAGGTAGACTCAGCTACTGGGGAGACCCATCCCACCATTGCAGTACGTATGTTGAACTTCTTTCGCACCGTACGTAAGCCAACCGTGATAATCGGAGGTGTGGGGGAAGGACAAATAAACGAAACACAAAAAGCAGTTATAAAGAAATTCGTTATTCGAGTGCGTGGGAGGTCGGTTGCGTCAGGCGAAGACCAAATATTCTCTGCAATAAAAACAGGTGGAATTCCCACCACTGGTTTGGGACCCACAACAGAAACGAGCACAGCTCGCTACTAAGAGGACACAGCCTCTTAGTAGCAAGGGGGTGGTGGAGGGAGCTGACACCGCCACCCCTCCCCCTGCTGAAGGTTCAGCCTCCCTTATACATTCTTAAAGTCATGATGATGGTCTTAATACCGTAATAATGATAGTGTTAATGGTGATGACGGTGGTGGCAGGAATGTTAGTGATTATAATGAGGGTCATGTCCCCCCCCCCTCCCCAACCTCCTTGAGCATTTGTATCCAACCCCGCAAACAAGTCACGCACGTCACAGCGTGGGTCGTACCGCGGTTTTTAATCTCAGCTGGAACAACACCGCCGCCGTCCCCCGAACGTCGAGTGAGAAATTCAGCCAGTGGCTGCAGCGTACACGGCTTGCCACGTGGTGAGTTGAGCGGCCCTTCCGATTGCCAGTTTCAAAGGCTGGTTTGGCGTTGACCCAACCCATCATCCCTCCGGGGGTCGGGGGATCAATAAAGTGCCAACCGCTTTGTGGGGAAATCAACGGTGGTTTCGTGTATAGATAAACTGGCCCCTGCCACCGGAATGAGGAATTCCCACCACTGACTCGTGACTCTGAAGGAGGAGACGAGAGGCACCTCAATTGCTCGTTTGAGCAGGAAATCGCACGTGACTTGTGTTCGTTTGCTGTATACATGTACATACAGTACGTTGCCTTACCTCGCCACTGAGGACGCAGAACGAGAGGAGGATCCAGAGAGCGGGCATGGCAACCCCGATGGCAACACCAACATCTCTGCAACACAAACGTAATCATCATCATCATTTCCACGTGTCATCCCAACTGAGTTGTTTTCACGCGTTTTGTTTTTACTTCGACGTTTGGGGGTTGTTTGGGCCGACACCAATTACTTTGCATGTGAGGGGTGGTTTGGTTTGGTTTGTTGGATTATTTAGTTATGAGAGTAAAAACCCACGCAAAACAACCGGTGGAGAACGTAACAGCACACTCCACGCAAGAGTCGCGAACCCAGGCTGCCCCTACCCCGCAGTATCTTGCTGTGACGGCACACAAAGTGCTGTTTACACCACCGCCCTTTGCCAACCCCGAGCGAAGGGCACGATAGGTTCGGAGCCACGCGGCTACAGCGCGCACTTTACAAGTCGCCTTGTTTAAACTTCCATTATGTAAGCGCATGCCACAGATATACAGCCGCGCATTCCACGCGCACGAGGGATAACGCGGCGAGGGGGAGGAGGGAGAGAAGACACCGCACCTTGCTGATATCTACAGGTGAACGTGACATAAACGGGGTCCAACTCACTGAGAGTTTACCACACACAATCAGCACAATCAGTGCGCACTCGCTGTCAACGTGGATTTTTTTAATAGATATCTAGTACCGCTTTGGTATGTATGTGTTGACACGAAGCTCGGCAAAACGTGTTAAATAAAACGAGGGTCGGTTAAGAGTCCGTGCACCATAATCATTGGATTGTAAGAGGGCAACTTCCTTCCACCTTGTGTTCTAAAGTAAAAGTGCGAGGTGGGCTGGGCGGTTGTGAGTCTTACTTTGCCGGAGCGTCTTATGATCCGCAGAACACGCTGCGTGTACGTGTGAGAGCGCCTTTTTGAACATCTACGACTGCCAAATAGGCGGCTTCCCTCCTCCAGCAGTGAGTAATTAGGCCTTACTTCATCGCACCGGTCAATGCGGGTTGGTGAAAGCGGTGGGGAGGGGGGGAGCACGAGACGTGACAACATCAGCGGTGGAGCGGTGGCGCAGTGGTTAGCGCAACGGCGATGTGAACCCTCCGACACGAATTCTATTCCAGGCCGCCACGGCTCACGTCAGTGACGAGTGATTTCCCTTAACCCCAGCCCCTTTGGCGTACCCCACCCGCCCTTCACCGCCACCCGAACTGACAATCGTGGTGAAGTATGGTCAAACAACCCACCCCCCCCCCCCCGTGATTGACATGAAGTTGGAGATGACTTACTTCATCCAGCAGTGGAATGACAAGCAGCTGTACATTAATACTTTATTAATGTTGTCCTTCCCCCGCACCTCCGAAAAGTTCAACAAACATACATATTTATTTTGTCACTTTGCTGAATCATGAAGTTATTGTACAACAGCAATAAAACTTTCTGCACGTGCAATGTGGCTGTGCGTTTCGTTTCTACGTGTGACAGACACACAGACATGCAACAGCATCGCTCCAATAGTTTTCAACACATAAAAGATTTTACACATAGCCCTTAGCCAGACTGCACGCACCTTGTAAGATAGCCCAGCGAGTCAGAAATGCCCCAACAGTCTACATATAAATCATCCTGTCGCATTGTTAAACCAACCGCCAATCACTATCGTTCTTATCCAATCAACACGAGCAATTCATAGCTCAGAGTTACAATATGTATGTATTCTTGAGAAATCCGATGAGCTCTGAAGCTCTTATCACAGATGTCCAGCTACCCAACCAACTACCACAATACATTATTAGCCACCCACCGGCTATCCCAGGCAACTAAAGTCATCCTCAAGTAAACCACCGCAATGTTAACCAGTCACCAGCTACATAACCAATACTCAACCAGGCACCTGTATGTAATTATGCAGCATTCACGAACACAATTACTACTCTACAGTCAACATGCAGCTCTTAACCAGTCAACAACTACCACAACTCATGTGACTGTTCTAACGTTTAACCAACCTCCGAAAGTACATTCCGAACCAACCATTTGACATTCTCAGCAAAGCAACCGTCGCGTAACCAACTCCGATTCATACCCAGCGAACACAAATGAATACCTCTTCACCGGATAGGTAGCGCTTGGAAAACCGTTCACCGATACCAGCAGTCCGAGCCAGGACAACTCTTCTCGGCCAGGCAGCCGATTCCAACATTAAATTCAACATGAATGATCATACAGGACTGCATTACTACTGCGTAGCTACTCGCGCTTGTGGCTCTATCATCCTCCGATGTTTGTTTGTTGGACACGATTTGCGATCGTTCGGCGAAATCTCCTTCACAGAACTGAAGAGCAACTCAACTCAGTTTCCTCTGAAAACGCCCCCCCCCCCCCCCAGCACGTGACGCGAAACGTCGGACAAAGTCACGCCGAACTACAGCCAGACACCCACACATCGTCGAGAAATACTTTTCTCAGCAACTGCTGTTTGTGTTCAGTTTGTTATCTTTCCCCCCCATGCCGCACCTCCGATTATCACAGCTGGCTACGTACGGTGCGAAAGAAGTTCAACACACACACATGCTTCGATAACAATCAAAGTGACACGATTCATTCCGAAAGCCATCCCAGCGACAGCGCTGGCCGTGTAACAGTGAGCAGCCGCGTCTCGCTGCGCGCGCGCGCACGTGAGTGAGAGAGAGAGGGCCACCACGTGTCGCTCTTGAACCCTACGCGTGGTGCGATCGTCCCGGTGTGCCGCCTTACCCTGAGCTTTGCCACGTCATGTTTGCCCCCAGGTCCCTGGCTGACGGCCCTGCCGCCTTCTCCTGCGCTGTGATCTTGATTTTCGGCAGAGCTTCCGCGCGCCCTCGGGTGGGGATGCTTTTTTTGGTCGAGACGACAAACTCCAGAGAGCGCTTTTTTGTCCCCCCCCCCCGCCGCCGCCTGCGCCACTTGCAGCACTCCTCCTCCTCCTCGTCACTCCCTCCTCCTTCTCACTCCCTCCTCACTCTTCCTCCTCCAACCCGGGACCCAGGTTCAAACCCTCGCCGCCGCCAGCTCGCGGACAAGAGGGTCAGCTCAGATCGACACAGCACGCTGGGGGAACACAAAAAAAACAACAACGACAAGAGTTCCGAAATGTCGTCGGTGTTTTGTTTTGGTTCCTTCGACCTTTGCTCCACAATCGCAGTAATCTTCAGGTGTCTCGCGTGGCACGGAGCAGAGCGGCGGCGTTCCGATCAGTGGCCGGGTTCACTGCTCTTGCTCAGAGCCAGCGCACGGGTATTTACTGAACGCGCGACGCATCACCCAGCTCCCCTCTCCCCCGAGTCTTGCACGCTACATCAACGTGACATCAATAGGAGCAATCGTATAAATATCTCTACCCCTATATTCTTGGTTCTTTCGGTAAAGTCACGTAGAAGGGAAATAATAAAATAATATAAATATAAAACAATAACAATTTTCACGACGTTGCAGTCGAAACGTCGTGAGAATTTTTATTTTTAATATTTATTTTATTATTTCCCTTCTACGTGACTTTACCGAAAGAACCAAGAATATGAATCCCTGCAGTCACGAAAGCTTTAAATCAAAATGTATCTTTACCCTCTTCTTGGTTCTTTCGGTAAAGTCACGTAGAAGGGAAATAATAAAATAATAAAACATAATAAAATAATTCTCACGACGTTTCGGCTACAACGCAAGCAGCAGTCCTCAGGTGAAGAACAGGTCTGTCGGGAAGACAGCGTCTGAATGAGGTCTGTTTTTCCGACAGACCTGTTCTTCAGCGTCTGAATGAGGTCTGTCTTTCCGATAGCCCTGTTCTTCACCTGAGGACGGCTGCTTGCGTTGTGGCCGAAACGTCGTGAGAATTATTTTATTATGTTGTATTATTTTATTATTTCCCTTCTACGCGACTTTACCGAAAGAACCAAAAATATGAATCCCTGCAGTCACGAAAGCTTTAAATCGAAATGAATCTCTACCCTGTTCCAAGCGTCACACGGCCGGGGGCTGTCACCCCTCGTCTTCGTCGTTCTACGACTACCAGCAGTCCAGTGTCACTCCTCCAAGTGCCCCCTCTTTTTATCCACGCGTCACTCTTCCAATCGCTGCTCGAGTGTTAACTACTCAGGGGCTGTCACGATCTTCTCAAGCCTCCTACAACTACCAGCCAGCAGCTCCCTACCTGTCCATGACGTCACTCCTCCAGTAGCTCCCTAAATGTCCATGACGTCACTCCTCCAGCAGCTCCCTACCTGTCCATGACGTCACTCCTCCAGCAGCTCCCTACCTGTCCATGACGTCACTCCTCCAGCAGCTCCCTACCTGTCCATGACGTCACTCCTCCAGCAGCTCCCTACCTGTCCATGACGTCACTCCTCCAGCAGCTCCCTACCTGTCCATGACGTCACTCCTCCAGTAGCTCCCTAAATGTCCATGACGTAACTCCTCCAGCAGCTCCCTACCTGTCCATGACGTCACTCCTCCAGCAGCTCCCTACCTGTCCATGACGTCACTCCTCCAGCAGCTCCCTACCTGTCCATGACGTCACTCCTCCAGTAGCTCCCTACCTGTCCATGACGTCACTCCTCCAGCAGCTCCCTACCTGTCCATGACGTCACTCCTCCAGCAGCTCCCTACCTGTCCATGACGTCACTCCTCCAGTAGCTCCCTAAATGTCCATGACGTCACTCCTCCAGCAGCTCCCTACCTGTCCATGACGTCACTCCTCCAGCAGCTCCCTACCTGTCCATGGCGTCACTCCTCCAGCAGCTCCCTACCTGTCCATGACGTCACTCCTCCAGCAGCTCCCTACCTGTCCATGACGTCACTCCTCCAGCAGCTCCCTACCTGTCCATGACGTCACTCCTCCAGCAGCTCCCTACCTGCCCACGGGGTCACTCCTCCAGCAGCTCCCTCCCTGTCCATGACGTCACTCCTCCAGCAGCTCCCTAGCTGTCCATGACGTCACTCCTATAGCAGCTCCCTACCTGCCCACGGGGTCACTCCTATAGCAGCTCCCTACCTGTCCACGACGTCACTCCTCCAGCAGCTCCCTACCTGTCCATGACGTCACTCCTCCAGCAGCTCCCTACCTATCCATGACGTCACTCCTCCAGCAGCTCCCTACCTGTTCATGACGTCACTCATCCAGCAGCTCCCTACCTGCCCACGGGGTCACTCGTCCGTGGCTGTCAACGTCTTCCGAAGGCTCATGCACAAGCTGCCAGAGACGCGGTCACTCCTGTGAAAGGTCAAGGGGACCCAGAGAGACACCCCCGGCTCGCTTTCTTCTTGTTGCTGTGGTTGTTGTCGTTGTTGTTGCTGCGTCTCTCGAATTGTCTTCAGTGTCTGTGTGAGATGTTTCAGCCGAGCCCCTTTGCCCTGCCGGCTTCATATGATGCGGGCGGTGCTCCTCCCGTGCTGCCCGTGCTCCTCGCGGCGCGTGGCTGCGCGTGGCTTGCGTCGCGGCGTCTCGCCCTCATTGACTCGTGCGCTCTGAGTGAGTGTGAGTGCTCCCCCCTCCCTCCCTCCTCTCCATCCTCTCTCTCTCCCCTCTCTCTCGCGAGCCCCCGTCTTCAATGCGCTGTTTGCGAGACGCGAGCTTGAATCAGCGGAGTGGCGCGTTTGGCGCCCTCCCGTGGGGTCGGCGCGGTCCGTTTAATTTTAATTTTGTTTGCTGGAAGCGCTGAGAATGGAGTGAGTGGAGGCTGCTTGCTTGATGTGTGTGTGTATACCGTACGTTGAACTTCTTTCGCGCCGTACGTAGCCAACCGCGCTAATCGGAGGTGCGAGGTGGGGTGGGGGAAGGAGTTGTAATGTGAACCGCAACAGTCCGGAACGTCGTTCCGGGAATGACTTTGGCACTCCGCATCTACCTCGCCTTGTTCTGTACTCACGATGCTCGCTATTGGCATGGCACTCTAGCAATATAGGGTACAAACAGTACAGCGTTGAGATTGTGTTTCTCACTAATACCCCCCCTCCCCCGGCGTGCCTGGAGAAAACCCACAAATACGAGGGGATAACACAAAAATACGCACCAGAATCAGGTCAATACTGTAATAATGGGCACTCCTCATCGTGCAACCACATGCCACAATCGCAGCCGCATTTCCGACTTAGAACGGATCATCACCTGGATTAAATGGGGCATTCATTGATCCACTATTTCTCACGGTGGAGAGCTGTGCCTCAAATATGAACCGTGTGTGCACAGCTCATTCTTGAGATTGTATCCTGTAAGCAAAACAATTCTTAAGTTATATAAAATACACAAATTACTAAAGTGAACATTTCACGAACAATATTTAGCTATCTGTGTCAAGCGAGTGCGTTTTACCGCAAACACTGAGATGGATTGGAGTTGATTGGAAACATGAAAACGCTCTGGCCCTGCGACTGCTCGTACAACAGCCGCTGAACTTGTGTGTTGTGCTGAAGGTTCCCTTCACTGGGAGCTGCAACATCTCACCAAATATAAGCTGTGATTACACTCCATAGGCAAGCTGCCTCTCAGTGAAAATCTACGGACATCAATTACACGGACAACTGTGATTTTAGTTGCGTACACCAAACTGCCACAAGACCCTTGACACGGCCATTGATGTGTATGCGTTTCAATCTTTAACAAAAGCATTCTGCTGTAGCCAAAACAGTCGGATATCATTAACCTGCAAACGATGCGATGAGAAGCAGCGACCCTAGCCTTGGTGGGTAACTACAAATGGAATGAATGCCAGGGCTTAAACGTCGTCGTCTACTTCTTGGCACGTCCCATTGTTTACACTCGGCGTTCCCACTACTCTGCAAATGTGGCTCCGCTTAATTAAATCCAGGAGGAAGTACGCACTGAGCCGTAACAGTGGCCGATCTCCGTGCGGATTCTAAAATCTTGAACTCGGTCGACGCCGCGCTCTGCCGAGGTTCACGCAGATGCAACAACAACAACAACCACACGCCACCCATTCGCCAACTAAGTGGCGGTGACATCAACCCACGGTGCTTGTGCCAGGTCAGGTGCACTTTGAGGCCACGTCAAGTGTCGAAGGCTCGCTGGCAGGAGGTCACGGGACCAAGAACCCAGGTGCCACGGGTTGACCGAACCGAGTTGCGCGCGAAACGACGACATTCGGGGCGATCCCGGGGGTGGGCTTTGACCTGACCCACGTGGACAGTTACCCTCAATCTAAACGAGGCCCGTTGCATTTGAACCGCTTTACATTTAAGTGGGATGGAATGTGTTCCGAGTGGCCCCGCATGGAAACGACGCCAACGCCTTGATGCGCATGTGCCGCGCAGAGCACGGGGCAAGGCTGGACTCACGCAGCGCGCGCATGTGCGGGGCAGGTGGCAGATTTGTGCCCGAGTGGGGAAATGAGCGTTGAAATGGAAATTATCCCAGGTTAAAGTGATATCGACTCAGTTTTTATTTGGAAAGAAAGTGGATAACAATTATCGTTTATGCATACAGGGTCGGGGGGGGGGGTGTTAGTCCACTGCGCGAAAACACCCTGAGTTCGATTCCTGGCCACGTTAAACTTTGACGGCGAGTGATTCAGTATCGGAACTGTACTGATGCTGGACACACCTTGCTCACCAAACCACAGTGACTGGCATGGTGAAGTATGGTCAAACAACCCCCAACCATTACCAAAACGACGTGGGGAGGCTTTCATCCAACAGTGGCTTGATAAAGGACTGTAATTGATTATATTTTAGCAATTGGTAACATTGTATTTTTTATTGTTTCTTTCAGCTACCTTTTTACTCTCCGATTAGCTTAAATAAGGTGACATTGGGTTTTGTTACTGTCAATGTGTTTATCCAAGGCAATGCCTAACCACAGAATCATTCGCAAAAAAGCTCAAGCAAAGTAATATAAATCGTGCCAGTCGCTTTCATCATGGAAACACACGTTGATTTAGGGAAGGGAGTGGAGGTGGGAGAATGATGATGATATGGTTACATAGATGGTGGTGAGGTCAAAGACAGGGGCAGCTAAAAACGTGGGCGGGGGGCTAAGATGTGAAGTTTCATGGGCAACATAAAGTATGACGACTGTGATAACGGTGATCATTTTGTACGTTAGCCAATTCCGAGCTTAAAACATTACTTGCAGACGACCTTTCTGTATTTCAAAAAAAAGTTAGCACGTAGATAGGTTCAAATAAAATAACAAAAAACTACGACGTTTCGATCGCAACACAAGCGGTCGTCGTGACTTTACCGAAAGACCCAACGAATATAAATTCCTGCAGTCACGAAAGCTTTAAGTCAAAGTTAGCACGGTCAGTTTATCAGGTGTTCTGAATGATCGCCGCCTTCATTAATTGTTCAGTACGATGTCCAGCACTCAAAGTGAAACAGCACAGGGCACTGAAAACGAGAAGCGCTGCCGTTCGCCCAATTAGCTGTGCTTCTTGAGGACATCGCCAGCGCTTGACTCACATTGACGGGAAGGGAGCTGCGGAGGTGGAACCTGGCGTTGTCCAGATAGCGTCTGGTGCTTTTCGGGCTGACGTCACCTTGTTACAGGAGACGTTGATCTCAACCAGGCCGAGCGTGACAATCATATATATATATCAAAAGGGGGCTTAGCACATCACCGGGTGGCATAGATATAGCCCGGTTGGTTGTCTCTGCACGATCGCCCGGTTGTTGCAATGGGAAGCTTTGCAAATACGAATCTCAGACAGGGGTCAAGTCAGCCCATAACACCTTCTGGGGTCAATAGAATGAGTCACGAGTTGTGGAAAGCCGACAGCGGTGATCATCCTGTGGATAAACCTACCGGTCTTCACCGTGTCAATGTCGAAGCCGCGAGTGCTGATTTTTTTTTACAATGTTTTATTTTGAATTGGACTTTAAACTTTTTCTGGTTTAGTAAGATGTTATGCATTGTGTAAACAACGTGTTGTATACCTTAGAGTCAATATTTAAAGTAAGAACATCTTTACTTACAAACACTGTTCTGTTTTCTTATATGGACGCTTATAAGACACAGCGAATTTGTAATTTCCATTATGTAATGTTTACACAGCTGAAATCGTACGCTGAATATTAAGGTCAGCAGTTCCAACGCCAGCGAAGTTAAACACAATCTTTCATTCAATTGTGGTTTAAAAAAATTTCTGTGGGTGGACTGGCTCTTGGCTCATGAATGTGGAACCTAAGCCATTGGTAAAGCATATTTGATGTGGTTGAGGTTCGCCTAGTGTTAATGACAACATAGGAGACACTGTTTGAATGACCACAAACCATCGTAACACCTCTGTATTAGTGGCAGAAAAAAAGGTCAAATCAGCTGCAAATTTTTTTTTACGTTGATTTTTTTGCGGGAATTAACTGACATTGTGGGATAATGTAAATGTGCCGTGTTGGTTATGGCGGTTGTTTGAGCATACTTCACCACTATGGTAATTGTGGGTAAGTCAAGGGGGGAGGCTCAGGTCCGTTTCAGATATCATTCGCCCACTGATGTCAGCCGTGGCGAGGAATTTAACTAAAGTTGCCAGGTACATATCAAATGAAGCTAATCAGTGTGATATTAACTTTAAAAATAATCCATTTTAGTCTAGATCTGTGCATTTAATGATTTAATCCTTTAAAGGGTATGCCATTATACCTGCTTGCCTCAAAAGGCACTATGTCACGCCATCTTCGGTAATGACCTTTGTGGTATGCTGAGTCACATTTTGTCTGCAAATTAGCTCAGTCTTAATTACCGCATCTGGTTTCACAGAAATATTAAATTAAATTTGGAAGGGGAAAAAATGCCCTTTTTAAGTCAAATTAACTCTTAAGGTCTTCTCTTGATTATAAGACACACTTTTCAAACCCTGTAATTTAAAGACAATGTGGGGTGCATTTTATAATCCGGGAAATACGTCACCTTCCTGAAGACATGTTTTAATCTCGTTGTTCAGAATTATCTTCTGAAATATGGTTCTCCATCGCAATACATTACCAGCAAGCCATTCAAAGTCTTCTTCTTGAAGACCTATTTCCAATTTTTAAAGCTGCATTGCTCTCCATCGTAATACATTATTTTTCTAAAGACGTGTTTTCAACTCGTTGTAGGTAATCATCTTCCATAAGGCACAATCTTCACATTGTATCTTCTTCTGGAAGATGGTTATCATACAACCTTAATCTCCCAGTTATAAATCGCGTTTTACATTTTAAGATACATCTTATAATCCGAACCATATGGTAGACTGTCCTGGGTAAATTATTACATTGCAACTATGGGATGGTGTCACCTAAAATAAATACCGTTGAGAACAACAATGGGAATCCACCTCTGCCATCATACCATAGTATTAACTAGAACCTCACGTTATACAGCCCCTTACACATGAAGCTTCCCAGCGCTTGACATAAAATAACCCGAGCCTTGAGAATTAAAACTGAATGAAACTATTAAAAGAAAAGAAAAATAACCCTTAACAAATAAAATGATAAAAG